TTCGCACGAAGTCAGTGGCCGTGTTGCGTGACACAGTCTCATCCTGCACAAGACACTCGGACAAGAGGATGGGTGGATGGTTGGAGCAACAGCAAAGTGCTGCAAGAGTCGGGAAGGCCTGCAAGACGGAGAAGAAACCGTTCTTTACACAAGAAACGGCCTTCAAAGGAGAGAGTCTGAATATACCAGGCGTCGAGCCTATTTCACTACAATGCCAAAGCCGTACATTTTTCATTTCAGTTTTCTGAAGAAAGTACGGAGTGACACTGTGTGAGTACATGACTGTTTTGTGCTAGTTTGCTAGCCAGCAGGTGTGCTTGAATGCTAATTACGGTTCCTCAATCTCTCTCTCTCTCTCCACTGCAGGTGAGCGAGAGCTGGTGCAGAAGAAGACGTTCACGAAATGGGTGAACGCACACTTGCAGCGCAGCAGTGTTCAGATCGAGGACCTGTTTGTGGATTTGCGCGATGGCATCTACCTCAACAAACTGCTGGAGAACATTTCTGGAGAGAAGCTGGTAAGACTCATCCGCTGAGACTGTCTGCTTTAGTATGGGTGGCTTCCTGGCAATGTGCATTTTGAATGCATATGCCGGAGTGTTGCCGGCAGAAGTGATGGTATTTGATGGGAGTCCTCAGCGGAAGTCCCGTATATCCTTAGCACGATAAGCACACACCGTTAAATGTCTCTGCACCGTGCTTGTGGCTATTGACGAGGTCTGGTACGTATTCAGTGCTGCCAAACCGGCGTCCGATTTTTGAAGGCTCTTCCGAAAACCGGTCCGAAAAAGGAAATGTCCGAAAAGCAGCCAAAACTGTGAGGGGTCAGTACTTTCCTATGCAGAAGTCCTGTACTTTCACTTTTGAGCGCAACTGAACATACAAATCATTGTATTTGTGCTTCTAAAAAGGCGAATACGGTTCATTCATGCATTACAAAGTGTTAGTTCATGACAGGGAGTCGTAAAAGCCCTGGTTCATGACAACTTCTGGGCGCTACGTTGGTTACTATGGCAACAAAGCGAGTTTTCTTCGTATTTTGGGCGATATTTTGGATTCTCTGAAAATTTGCGGTAGATGGTGTCAGATTTTGGGCGAAAATTATTTGGCAACACTGCGTATTGGCAATGCCCTTGCTTGTTTATCTGCCATGATGTGGTCGTTTCCAGAGTAAGCCATCCAACGGCAAGATGCGAATTCATAAGTTGGAGAATATGGGCAAGGTGCTGGATTTTCTCAAGGCAAAGAAGGTGAGGCCCATTCTTAGATCGTGTACGTTTGTGGGTGCGCACGTGTGCGTGTGTGTATGTGAGTGTGTGTGTGTGTGTGTGTGGTGTGTGTGTGCATGGGTGTGTGTGTGTGTGTGTGTGTGTGAGTGTGTGTGTGTGTGTGTGTGTGTGTGTGTGTGTGTGTGTGAGTGTGTGTGTGTGTGTGTGTGTGAGAGTGTGTGTGTGTGCATGAGTAGCTCTAGTCCAGTCCTAGCATATCTTGCAACGAAAAGCCACTTGGGGGTGGGTGACTCCGTCCAATGCGTTTTCAACTTTTCACGCTCACTTGTGTGTGTGTGTGTGTGTGTGTGTGTTCGTGTGTGTGTGTGTGTGTGTATGTGTGTGTGTGTTCTCTTTCGGGCGTACAGGTGCACTTGGAGAACGTTGGCGCCCATGACATTGTCGATGGCAGTGCCCGTCTTACGCTCGGTCTCATCTGGACGATCATCCTGAGATTTCAGGTAGGTTACTGTATCATGTAATTATTCATGTTTGTAAATACACTAGTGTTACATGTACATCGCATGTGAACTTTCTATGTGTGTGTACAGCACACCTGCATGATGGCATGAGACCTTGTTTGTGCTTGTTGGCATCTTCCTGTATGTATGCATGTGTATGTGTGTGTGTGTGTGTGTGTGTGCGTGCGTGCATGCGTGTGTTAATGCAGATTCAAGACATCATGGTCGAAGAGTCGGCGGAGAAGAGGTCGGCAAAGGAGGCCCTGCTCCTCTGGGTCCAGCGCATGACAAAAGGGTACGCATCTCCCGCACCCAGGCCGGTGGTCACCGAGTACACTCATACCTTGGTTATTCGGACCCCGAACTTACGGGCACTTCGGTTTACCGGGTGCCTTTTGGACGACTTTCAGTGGAAATATCACTACTCTTTTGTCAGTTTGTGGACGTACTCACGTCACATGCAATATCTTTGGCCTTTACCCATCAAAATTAATGTGATTTGGAGTTACGGACGGGCAGTGGCCGGTCCAGGACCGCCCGGATAAACGAGATATGAGTGTATGCCATTGTGGTATCTTATGTTCACAGAGATAGGGTATGCATCGGTCACAGTACTGATGCTGGCATTCTACCTATGTATGTGTGGTATCTGCAGCCGCATTCCCTTGCCGCTGATTGGGCATAATTTGATGGTGTTTGCTGTGATTGTGGCGTTGGTATTCCTCTCTTCTGTTGGCAAGGTATCCTGGAGTAAATGTCACAAACTTCACTACAACGTTCAGGGACGGTCTGGCATTCAATGCTCTCATCCATAAGCACAGGTAGGCGACTAACGGTGACACCGTTCAAGTCAGTTGTTGATTCTCAGGAGTCATGGCGGCGTCTTCCCTTTCCCTGCCGTTTTGTTGCTATGCAATACAAGCTGTGGAGGCGGCGTTCACCCTGGCTGCCAGGTGGAGGAAGGAGGATTAGCGTATTTCCCTTCTTGGATGTTTTAAACAAGTATGCTCACATAGTACATGTGTTCAGGTGTATCACGCAGGTTACTATGGAGGAGGTGTGTACTGTATGCTTGCATGGTCGCTATACACTGAGCTCAGTAGTAGTTAGCTTGGGATCATATGCTCTGCATCTCACACTAGACCCGACTTGCTGGACTTCAAGGCTCTGAACCCGGAGGATCACAAGGACAACTTGAACAATGCATTTGACATTGCGTTCACCGACCTTGGCTTGCCCAAGCTTCTAGATGCTGCCGGTGAGTTTAACTGACCATATCACTGCATGTATGGCTGTAGGCTCAGTCACTTTTTGTTCCTTTGACGTGCGCTCTTTCTCATTCTCCTAGCTCTTCTTTCATGATCCTCGGGGGTGGTGGTGTTCCTACGGACGCGAAAAACTCGGCCTTCAGCCTCACCTCACGTGACCCGTGAATTGTTTTTAGCTCTTCCGTCATTCTCCGGGGTGGCTACCTACAGCCAGTGCATGTGGTGGTGGTGGTGGTGTGTGTGTGTGTGTGTGTGTGTGTGTGTCAAAAAGAAAGAATGAAAAAAATGAAAAATAGAGATTCACTTCAATCGGCTGTGGGGTGTAGACCAGGCTGAAATTAGTGACGATCAATTCATCACCCTTGCAGGCTGTTGAATGGTGTAATCCCAGAACAAGTTTCTATGTCTAACATAGCTTGTTCGCTATCATCGCTTCAGCTATGGGCATGTGCAAGTGTGTAGGTAAGTGCTCGTTTGAATGCTCAAAGGATATACAAAGGTACTGTATGGAGTGCAGTTCAAGGTAGAGAGGTAGAGGGAAGACAGTGTTCTAGTTGGTAAGAGAGACATACTGCAGTAAAACCCGTGTAAGGCGACCGACTGCTCAAGGGACCTTCAAAACGTGGTCGCTGTGTACAGGTGGTCTCCTTATCCAGGGTCATTTGACTGAAATTGACAACCCTTGGGCCTGGTGGTAGTGGTCCTCTTGGACAGTTGGTCGCTTTACCCGAGTGGTTGCCTTGACCGTGAGGTTTTACTGTAGTACCCACTAAGTTGAGTTACGGTGGTTGAGCAATATCACGCAGGGGCTGCAACCAATTGGACGGCTTGGAACTTTGAGGCTGGTACTGCCCCTCATATTTCAAGCAACTTCTCAAGGCCTCAGTCTGTCACATGACTCTTGATTAATCCTCTTCTCCGGTAGTGAATCTTGTGATTCGCGTGTTAACATGTTATGTGTTGCATACTTGCGTATTCGTAGATGTTGACGTAAGGTTGCCGGACGAGAAATCCATCATGACATATGTAGCAGTCATGTATCAGTACTTCTCCAAGATGAAGGAGGGTGATGTCGGCGGCAGGCGTATCAACAAGGTATGAAGGGATAATGAGGTTTCTTACTGTCTTCATGTTGGACTGCAGCAGAATGCAGCCATGCATAGTTTATTCAATAGTCCCTCTACTTAACCACGGCCTGAAATCACTGTGAAAATCACCATGCCAATCTTGCTCATGTACGGGATGCATGCATGACGAAAGGGTGGTGAAACAAACACATTACTCTCACTAGTTGTGGATGTAAGATGTGATTAGTGATCCTTCGCTCATGCTGTGCATTTGCTATCGGTGACTAGACAATGCATGCATGAACACCTGAGCATCCACCCCTTTGCTCCACGATCCACGTGCCAAGACCTTCCAATCAAGCTGTATCCAAAATACCAATAGCAAAGGGAGTAACCGTTTGTATTCCAGCTGTAGTGAACTGCGTATTGTATAGATGAATTTGGCAGCAAACAGTGATTTGTGATTCGAATCTCAAACAGTTCCTTGCTTGTTATACTCTTGTGATGTTTTACGTACCCAGCTGCTGGGTCAGATGATGGAGATTGAGAAGCTGAAGACCGACTATGAGCAGATCGTGACGTCACTTCTCCAGTGGATCGAGGAGAAGACCAGGCAACATTCTATTCCCAACCTGCCAAACTCTCTGGCAGCTATCCAGGAAGAAATGGCTGCGTTCACTCTGTACCGTACCGAGGAGAAACCTCCAAAGTAAGGGAACCCGTCAGTGATGCTTCGGGCAGTTGTACAGTGAAACCTGTCTAAGCCAACCGCTCAAGGGACTTCCCCAAAATGTGGTCATCGTGTACAGGTGGTCTCCTTATCCAAGTCACGGTCACTTGACTGTAACACCGCCACTTGGACGTACATGTACTTGTAGTGGTCCTCTAGGACAGGGGCTCTCCTTACCAAAGTAGTCTGGTTTTTAACTTTTTATGCATACCGACTCGTGACGTATTGAGTTCCTTTTCAAGGCCATCAGTATTAGTACATGAAAGAGTGTACGTATCACTACACTGGCTCATCTTTCATGCCCGAGTATTGCAGTAAAAAGACTGCCAATTTTCCCAGACCTGTTTGGTCCGTGCTTTTTTTTGTGTGCTTTCGAATCGCGCAGATTCTCTGAGAAGGGTAACCTGGAGGTGCTTCTCTATCAGCTGCACATGAAGCTTATGATGGGTCGCCAGAAGTCCTATGTTCCGCCTGATGGCAAGGCAATCAAGGACGTCAACAAGGTTAGCTTTGGCTAGCGAGGTCTCAGCTGAATGGGCCTCATGATCAATACCGGTATTTATCCTTAGTAGCTAATCAATTGTAATGCTTCAAGAAAGAACACTCATTGGTGGTTTGCAAATCCACATTCGGCATCAATCAGTGCTTCTTTACCTTTGTGGTAATTTAACTCTCTGCCGTTGTGGTAATATACCGTACTGGCAATATATATGGTCGCAGTGAGGCCATGAAGCGTTACGTTGGCACATGTTTACCGCACGCAGGGCGTTACATGCAAAGTCGCACAGGAGCTGTTACACAGGTTTCTATATTGCCGCAGTCCTTTTTTTGCTATTGCAGGACTTCCTGCTGCGTCCAGTTTTGAACTTTTCACCACGCGGTACACATGCTTCCACAGTTTTCAGCCTTTTTGCAATGAAAAGATGGCCGCACCCCGCCGGACGCGCGTTACGAACGCAACGAAAATTTGTCGCACTCGCCTGGTCGCGCGTTACGCCGCACCCCCTGCGTTACGCGTTACGCGGCAACATATATTGCCAGTACGGTAATATGGATGCAGGGAATGGTATTTTCGGTCTTTGACCACTTTGACGGTGGGTCTGATGTACTCCCCTCCCACAGCTTTAGGAGCTGCAACTCCGCCTTGATCCTTGTGGGTAGTGGCGTTCCTACGCCGGGATGCGGAAAACTTGGCCTCTAGCCGAGTCTCACGCGAACCTTGAATTGTTTTGTGGTAGTTGAACTGGATGTAATGGTTTTTCTTCCTGGCGATCTGTTTGTTGAAGGCATGGGTGAAGTTGGAGGCTGCTGAGCACGGAAGGGAGGAGCGCCTACGCAAGGAGCTGATCCGCCAGGAGAAACTAGAGCAGCTTGCAGCTCGCTTCAGCCGCAAGGTAGGTCCCCAGTGCTTAGGCACGCTAGCTCCTCCATTGTCCACTGCTATTTTCCTGATCTCCAGAAATTTTGAAAAGATTCAAGTTGACTGAACAATCACACTGTTCTTGTACTAGGAGCGTAATATCATTGTTGTGTTTGTGATCACCAAGGCTGAGCTCCGTGAAGTTTGGTTGGAGGACAACGAGCGCCTGGTTAGCGTTGATGACTTTGGAGATGACTTGCCTGCTGTGGAGGCTGCTCTGAAGAAACACGAGGCTGTCTGCACTGACATCAAGGTAAGACACTCAATGGCACTGCGTGTGTGTTTTACTATGTGTGTGTGTGGGGGGGGGGGGGGGGGGGAGGGGAGGGGGTGTTCATGTGCACGAGTGTGTGTGTGTGGGGGGGGGGGGGGAGGGGAGGGGGGGGGGGAGGTGTTCATGTGCACGAGTGTGTGTGTGTGGGGGGGGGGGGGTGTTCATGTGCACGTGTGTGTGTGTGGGGGGGGGGGGGGGGAGGGGGTGGGGAGGGGGGTTGTGTTCATGTGCACGTGTGTGTATGAATGTGTGCAAGCATGCATGTGTGTACACGTCTGTGTACCTGTGCACTGGAAGTGTACAGTAGGTATCGGTTATAGCGTGGGCGTTTGAAAAACGACATTTGATTCTTATTGCCGATATTTCTTACACACGATAAATCACGTGTGACATATCATAATGCACGTGTTACATATCATATGCACGTGTGACATAATCATATGCGTATGCGCGCACGTTTGGCATGTGGACACGTACACATGATACACACGGATCAGACTCGCGGTCGACCGGTCGTGCTAGGCGACTAGACTGCGGAGCAGCAGATACGAGAGAAGTCGGAAGAAAGAGTCCGACTGGACAGAAAAAGTGATTCTCCAATGCTCCCTTGGACATAACTCTCTTTTTATGTTGAATATCATTGTATTGAGTATGCACAGAGCACAGATGTTATTACTACAGGCGATACACTTTGCACTAATCTGGCATATTTTGCTGCATAAAATCCATTCTTAGGGCCGATATATTCTACTATGCGATAATACTGCTTGTAAGAATAAATATACACATAAAACATGTGTTATGATTATGAAAAATTGAGTGTTCATTCTTGTAGGCAGTATATTCTTGTATACGACCACACTATAACCGATACGCACTGTACATTCTTGAGACATACATCTTGTTCTGCTGTTCATCTGCTATTGGATGGAAATATGAAACCACACCTGATTGTCTGTGCACAGTAAAGGCTAACCATTGACCTCATTTATTCAGGAATGTCTTCTACTTCGAAGTATAATTTCTTGCACCTTTCATAACCTGTACTTTCTGGATGCACTTTTGTCAAATTATTATGCACAGGCATCGGAAGAGCGAATTGAAGCAGTGTCACACCTATCTGAGGAACTGGTCTCTAACCGCTTTCATGAGAGTGATGACATCAATGAGAGGTAAGCCTGAGGGCAACCATACCTGATGGAACAAACATGTTGCAAATGCCGTGAGGGACAATACTTGAGACACACCCAGTGGATACCTCGCCACTGCATCATCATGGCAGATTGAAGGTTTGGGAAGTGAGTAATATCTGATGCAAATGGTGAGCTGGTTGATCTGAAAGGCTTTATTGTTGCTGCTGTTGCTGTTGTGGTTGTTGCTGTTGTTTGTTGTCGTTGCCATCGTCATTTTTGGCGCCATTGTTGTACCCAGGGCTCAGCTCGTCAATCAGAATTACCGTGAGTTGCTGGAGTTGGCATCAGGACAACGCAAGCGACTAGATGTAGCTACCGGTCTCTACAATGCGTTCCACGAGATGGATAACATCTTCGATTGGATTGATGATGTCAAGGTACATGCTCATGTGTATTGCTGCTTCCAGTTGCTGCTGTTGCTTGGAAGCGTGTTTTTATTGACTGCATAAAATCATCATTTAATGATGATGCAAAGAAAGAAAAGCACTCAAGCATTGCACCCGGGAGGCAAACATTAACTCAATCCCTAGCATAGGCTTAATGAGGTCGTGTATTTGTACAAATTTCAAAAGGATCCAAGTAAAACTCCAACAACCCCGGTCAAACCTCCCGCCAACACAATGGCAGCCAGACACCAAAACGAGGGAACGAATTCAAATATTAAAAAAGCAACAGCAAAAATAGAATAACAACACAGTCAGCAAAAATGGAAAAGCCTTTCGGTAGACAAGTCCAGTTACTGCACGTGCAACATGTGCGCCAGTGCGCGGCACTCGGTTACAAAACCATGACGGCCTGCACTGGACGTGACCCGAGGGAATACGATGATCTTGACCCCCGGAAACATGTTATCTGCCACCAGATTAGGGAGGTACTTATCCTCGATCGCAGGTGACCAAGGACAAGGTCGTACTGAAGATCCCGCTTCTTGTCCGCTATACGGGCTGCCAGTGTCTTCAAAAATCTGCTGCACTCCGGCGCGCTCTGACCGTTTGTTGCAGAAACCAGAGGGGTAAATGACCCGCGATCCCGTGACTTGGTTAATTCGGTCTGCATACTGCCGCTTCTTCTGGCGCTCGTGCTGGGACAACTGACCCGCCACTTCCGGTCCAGACAGCAAGACAGCCTCGGGTGAGTCACCCGCACATCAAAATAAGGCGTTTTACGACCTGGTCCAGAAGCCACGAGCCCGTGTGTCCACACGGGCGCCATCAGCTGAGTTGCCAGAGACCTGGAGTGGCATCAGCGGTGGCTCGATCGCCACATCACAAACGACGCTGCTGAGGGTGTCTGCAAGGAGATCCCTCAACTCGTTGTGTCGCTGCGTCAGGTAGCCTCCACTGGGGCAAGTAAGTGCGTTATGGCTTGACGTACACACACACAGGACAATGCAACCCCATCCAACGATAAATCGTACCGCAGACAAAGTGCATCCCTGAAGTCAGATTTATTAAATACCGACCCAAGTATGTGCATGGAAGGGGATGCGGCCGGACAAGCAGTACCGTTTTTTTGGCGTTGGGGTAGTACCCGTACTGAGGGTCGGCCTCCCCAATGGCAGACAAATACCTGGATGCACAGAGACTCTCGCAACAGGGCCGATAGATTGCCAACTGACCACAACGAAAGCCGCTTTCGCAGAAACTTCCTATAATCACCGGCGGCTGAAGTGTTGAAAGGCCTCTACAGCAGAAGGTGGCACGCAACCACTACAGCAGACCACGCAAAGGCCCGAGCTCCTGATCCGTCCGTGCAAAGTCCGATCAATCTAGAAAGTTCCTTGACGAAGTCCTCACCTTCAGCGCAGAAGGGAACAATAAATAAAATATTTTTCCAAGACACAGCCTCACGGTATGCAGAAACAAGCAACTGCACAGCCTCCTCACTTAATAGAGCCCAGAAGCCACCTCCAGGGACAACGCTGGAGCCACCTCCATCACTCACCGAGCTCCTGGAAGGCTTCTTCCCAGATACTAGAAGGGGAGGTCAACGCAAGCACCAGAATCCAACATCAATGTAGATGCGGAGACTGGGGCATCGACAGCAATCACAAGAGACCGTGATGAAGATGCAGCGTCGTTGCTACCCACAGCACTTGGCGATTGGGTGGATTCTGCTGCGGAGACAGCCAACGACAGTGATGACAGGGCAGGGACCGAAACCTGGGATGTTCCAGTCACAGGCCGGAGCCCAGGACCCGGCACTCCCGTCCTTGGTCCTTTACTAGGAACCCATCCAGGTTGGGCATCCGGAGGAGCATCAGGAACAGAATGCCCATCAGTATCCACAACCGTATTCTGCAAATCTACATTGCCGAAATTAGTGCAACGGCCGTCTTGGCCAGGGTAACAATTCTGGCAGCATCTTCCCTTGCTTGCACAAGAGCAAGACTTACAGGTACCCGAGTTCCGACTATACATGCGCAGCAAGTGCGATTACCCGCAGCCCTCGGCTGCAACATGCCCACTCCAGACACAGCAAACTTCAAGCACGGCCGGCCATGCAGAAACACCAGCCACAGGGGAGCTGCACTGGAATAATGATAGGCATGTACTACTGTGCACATAAGTCGTCTCCTTGTGAGAAGGCACCATTGCCTGTTTGATTGAACGACTATAAATAAAAGCACAACAACAAACAACAACATATCATGTACCGGTAACCGCAGTCTGGCAGGAGGTGCGAAACATTAGGTGATGAAATCCAGAACGCTACACAGGCAAACTACTCCACGACAGCCCACTGTCCAAAGTAGGCCAGCACAGCAAATGCACGGCGCTCCCCAGCAAGCCAGCAACACAAAGCAGGAACACGCCAGAAACTACAATGGCCACCAAGCAAACAGGCAGACCAGCTGGCTAGACGAATGGCCCAGGATATCGAGCCATGGGATAGTAGATTAGCGGAGACGACACACTTGGTTCTAAGGAAGGTAACAAATCAAGTCTCTTCACGGTTGGATTAGAATAATTTAGTATAGGGTTGCTGCTGCTGCTAATGTTGCTGCTGCTAATGTTGCTGCTGCGTTGCTGCTGCTAATGTTGCTGCTGCTAATGTTGTGAAACTGTCCTCGGTTCTCTAATGTACTCGGTTCTCCTAATGTATTGAGTGCACTTTACGTGAGAGCACACTCTGTACTTGCAGCTATCACCCAGGCTGTTCTACCTGTCCATTGTGTGGCTATTAACTTCCCGAGTCTTAAAACGATCAGGCATAACCGGGTGAAGTCCTCTCTTAACAAGCCGATAACGCTACCCTAGCGACAAAATACTTGTTGCGAGTGCGTGACTTATGTACACTGTACACACATACAAAAGTGCACGCCGAGTGAATTTGCGAAAGCTATTACTCTATCACGAGTGCGCGAGTCAAGAGTGTGTGACTTATCTTGAGTACTGAGTAGGCTGTAGTCTCCCAGTGGAAATGAATACTGAGTAACTACAGGATGCTAGGGTTTAAAAAACTTATTTTGAAGGATTCAGGGCAGCTTATTAATTTAGCTTCAGTCACTGTCTGTACATTTCTCGGTCGGTGCACACTCTTTGTCGTGTGCCCTTTGGATGAGAGCACACACTTCATGCAAGTCCACTACTAGCCTTGGCTGGTCACCTTTAAAAGCTGATCTGCAATGTAGGTAAGCACCATCACAGCTCTATTTCGTCCTGTTAGATCATGGCTGCGCTGTGTGTACACCACTCCACTCCACTTCTGTGTTGTTGTGCTAGCCGAGTGTGATGCTGGAAGACGTCGCCAAGCACTACACTGGTGCTCAGGACATGCTGCAGAAACACAAGCTGCTGGAGGCCGACATTGCCGCACAGCAGGCACGCATCAAGAGTGTCTGTGCCGAAGTGCAGAAGTATGCAGCCATGCAGTCCGAGGGCAATAGAGAAGGTTAGTTGTCTCTTTCAACTTGTTTGACAACTGGCTGATTGCAGTTTGTGCTCTGTAGCTGTATGAATAAATTCACACAGTCTGCTCTAAAGACTTATCAGCTTCCATTAACGACCGTTCATCATACGTAGCCTTTGCTCTGCGTTCATTTTCCCTCAGGTATCTTCTCACCTGATGAAGCTGTTGTGAAGGAGAGGCAGGATGAGCTTGAAGAGGAGTATGGTTTGCTAGTCAGCAAGGCAGCTGAGCGACGCTCAGTCCTGGAAAGGTCGCTGGAACTGCAGCTGTTCCTTCGCAACGCCGAGCAACAGGGCTCTTGGATTCGCGACTTTGTCAGCGTGTTGCTCAGTGGAGAGCTGGGAAGAGACTTGACGCATGCACTGAGCCTGCAGGAGAAACACAAGGTAACTTAACCCACACTGATGGTGGCTTTGTAGTTTGTACAGCAAAGTCATGTCAGATGTCCACCTTCGAACTTGACTGGCTAGGCTTGTGAGCTCACTCGTGAGAAATGTAACAGTTATTACGTCTAGAGATTAATAGTCTAGGATATATACATGCATGGCTGCAATTCGAGGACAGGTTGGTGAAAAGGGTTGCCGATCGGAATTTTTGTGTGCGTGGGTGCATGCATGTCCGTGTGTGTGTGTGTGTGTGTGTGTGTGTGTGTGTGTGTGTGTGTGTGTGTCTGTGTGTGTCTGTGTATGTGTTTATGTGTGTCTCTCTGCTAGGCTGTTGAGGCCGAGGTGGCTGGACAACGTCAGCGCTTCAATGCCGTTTGTCAGACAGGAGACGACCTCATCGCTGCCAAGCATCATGCAAGCGAGGTCATCAGCTCTCGCCTGCAACAGCTGAGGTCCGGCTTTGCCGAGCTTGAAGGTCACGTTGAACAGCGGAAGAAGCGCCTTGCCGAATCCGTAGCACTGCAGCAGGTAACTGAAGGCGGTCGGTATTTCTTTCCATCACTGACTCAATGCACGCCATTTTTCATGTGTTCTGTTGACCAGTTCTTTCCCTAAAGATACTGGAGTTCGATAATACTCAGAAAAGAACACACTTCACTCGGCTCTTTTAAAAGAACATCTCAGTTAAAGTTTTCAGTTTCACTAGTAGCTCTTCTTCCTTGTGCTGCTTCTATCACCCCTCTACTGTAACTTACTTAATGCATTGTCTTTGCTCATTTGATTTTGCCTGTATTACACCTGACGATAAGGCTTGAAACTATACTAGTGAAACTGAAAACTTTCAAGATGTTCTTAAAAAGAGCTTGAAGTGTGTCCTTTTCTGAGTAATATCGCATTCTTGTCTCCGAGGAACCTGTTCACATGCTGGAGTTCCTTGCCAATTTTCTAATTCTAGTGCTGCATCCTGATTCATTTATAAATGATGCTTGATATTGTTGTTCACGGTCTGTGTTGTGACTGTGTGTTGGTGTGTGTTCCTTCAGTACCTGGTTGATCTGAATGAAACGTCCAGCTTGATGGATGACCTTGAGCAGAGGGTATCGCGTACGGACTACGGGACCGACGAGGCCAGTGCCCAGGCGCTGCTCAAGAACCTGCAGGTCAGTTGGTTTATAGCTGTGATTGGGTGCAAGGGCAGTGGGGACGCTTAGGTCAATGCTTACTTTGCTACGGTGTTTTCTACACTGTGTTTCAACTTGAAGCAGATGTATTGATGTGCATTGTGCAGATTTACATGTATCTATAGTATTAGTAGAAATTATTGAAGATCAATGACATACATCATCAATACTACACGTAGTGAACTAACTCATAGTGGAAGAGCACATGATAGCCATGTGCGGGCTACATATTCCGGAATGTGCTTCAATATGCTTATTACAGACTGCCCAAGAGGATCTGCTGACGTACCGCACAATCATCAGCAGTCTTGAGGATCAGTTCAGCAAGCTGGCACCTGAGGTAGGTTTGCACTCCGCACATCTCACAGATCTTGCCAAGCAAATGCCTTGAAAAGTAGCTATACCTGCATTCATGTTCTACAGTGCTGGCAACTGAAATCCGACCCCCTTAGCGGTGTGTTCACATTATAGGGGTCTCTGTTTTGTAGCTTTACCACCCCGTGTTGGGTCTTTGCAATGTGAGCACACCGCTCAGGGGTCGGATTTCAGTTGCCAGCCCTGTAGTTAGTCATAATTTTTATAATAAAGCTCTTGTGACATGGCATGTACATATGTATCAGCATGATCAGGATTGAATGTGACACTGGTCTGTGAGTTACAAACGGTGCCTGACTTTCCAGTGCACATCTTCACCCCGGCTTCCCTCAGTTTCATATAGCCTTGATGATGATGACATGAAGTTGTGTCTGCTTGTGTGTGTGTCATCATCAGGACAAGACTGAAGCTGTGGCCACACAACAGGCCAAGTAAGTGCTCGTTCATCCATTCTGTCGGCACAGCCTACCTTGTGAATTACCGAGGCTGTTGCTGTATTGGCTTTGATCGATTGACTTTGCTAGTACGTACGGCAGTGGCTAGTACAGCAGACATACACTAATTACTGGTATGCTTGCTGACAGTAGATCCTCTTTATGATCAGGTGCAGCCTGCTGGTGCTGTAACTGATTACTTATGCACAATATCATAATTGTTCAGGGGCAAGAGAAACTTTGCAGCCTGCCCCCCCCCCCCCCTCCCTCCCTCCCAGAACACTGTAAATATGGTTGTGTACTGTGCTCATGACCTTGTCTTTGGCTGTACTGTGCTCATGACCTTGTCTTTGGCTGTACTGTGCTCATGACCTTGTCTTTGGCTGTACTGTGCTCATGACCTTGTCTTTGGCTGTACTGTGCTCATGACATTGTCTCTGATTGTGCATGTAACTGTGCTCTACTCTATCCCCGGGTTGCTGCTCAGTGTCAACAAGCGCTATCAGAATCTCCTCGAGCTGGCCAAGCAGAGGGAGAGGTTCTTGCGTGATGCCATTGCGCTGTTCCAGCTGCAACAAGAGGCCGGAGACCTTGATGGCTGGATCACTGATATGGTATGGAAGACTAGGTTTGTTGTGTCGCCACTCTCTTTAGTTTCACAATTGCTTTCTTGCTTTAGAAGGTGCAAATGTTTTCTTCAAAATAAAATCGGGATGTAACAGGATTGCGTTTGTGGCCTTCTTTCCACGGCATGGAACAATCTTACAACTACATGCATGTCAGGATGGACGAATCGAATCGAAGAAGTACTGGTACATTTTAGTAGGCATGAGCTCATCACAGACTTGTCTTTGCTGGTGACCGTGCTGGGAATTGTTATCTCGCTGCTCATCAGTTGCCAATGCCACCGCTTGCCACCAAGTGAAGTGAAAGGTATGACACATCACGTGTCAACGGCATGTGAAAACTATATCAAGTATCAACACCACTTGCCCTCGTGCCCACGTACCATCTTAGCATAGCAATACGATGTATCTGATCGTGTACACGTATGTTTCTGCAGGAGGCAGTGGTCAATGCTATGACTGTCACTCATGACCCTGGTCAAGTGGACGTCTACAACCAGCGATTGACCAAGTTTGAGCAGGTCAGATTCAGACTACGTAGTGATCACCATTGTTTCTGTCACGGTGTGAATTCCATCAGCTTCCATTGTGTGTATTCACTAGTGTAACGGAATCACAGCCATTCCGTTCCCCGGGACGCAGGACACAAAGGACAAGACTAGTTTGGTTTACATAATTATTATTGACAATATTGAAATGGAGACAACACTCAAAGGGACGAACAAGAAGACTGACAAAAGGACTCTCGACTACAAAATCGCGCATGCTCATATCACACATGCACGCGACTAGACGAGACAGTTTGGGGAATGCCATCACACAGGAAAACAACACATCATTTTACAACACCTGCCCCCTTGATGACATTCCACAAAATAATAAACCGACACCACGTTCCATATGCACAACAGCAAAAGGAACCACAGCAAAACAGAAAAACCAACCAACAGCTTACATTGTAGCACAACAAACCTGGGCCACGACACAGGGCCAAACCAAGACACAAGAGCCGACGCTCTAAACTCAGGCACACAAGGATAACCGAAACACGAGAGCCAAAGCTCCAACAAAATAATAACAATATGCGCGCAGCAGCGCAAAATAAATCTACAACACAAATTAATGCAGAACAACAGAACGACGAGAAGAGCAACATACCGACAACCAAACTCAACAACACAGCAACCAACTGAACAGCGAGAGAAACACGATCAGACAACGCAGCGAGCAAAACAACAACAAGACGAACAACAAAGGACGACACACAGTCGGTGATGCCAGACTCATCCACTGGCCTCTGGCGAGCCACGGCCACACGCTCCATGCGGTACCTGCCGTCCCAGGCTCCAGTCCCCAGCTTCTGCCGGTCCACCACCTTCTCTGCCTCCTCTCCGCGTCTTCAATTCCGCTTCCACCAGCTCCTCGTCTCTCCTCCATCCCCACGCTTACTCTCTAGTTGTACTATTACCAAGAGTAGATAAACAAGAGTGTGCAACTCCGGATCTCTCCTGCACAATCTGCAGATACCGCGCGCCCACGGCGGAATTTTTTGTTTACGTCACCTTTTTTCAGAGAAACGCGGCTTTGCCGCAGAGCAGTGTGAGAGCACGTGCTGGGCACCGACCTTGTAGTGTAAAGCCCAGCCAAGTGCACGAGGGAAAACTCTCCAAAAGGCTCGCAGCGCGTGCGTCGTCGAAAAGATTACGTCAACAAAAAATTCCGCCGTGGGCCAATCCATCCGGAGTTGCACACTCTTGTTTATCTACTCTTGCTATTACTTGTATTAGTTGTTGACGACGACGAACAGACTCATGACAAACTTACTCATCCTCTGCGTCCCGGGTTTCGGCACCACGTTGTAACGGAATCACAGCCATTCCGTTCCCCGGGACGCAGGACACAAAGGACAAGACTAGTTTGGTTTACATAATTATTATTGACAATATTGAAATGGAGACAACACTCAAAGGGACGAACAAGAAGACTGACAAAAGGACTCTCGACTACAAAATCGCGCATGCTCATATCACACATGCACGCGACTAGACGAGACAGTTTGGGGAATGCCATCACACAGGAAAACAACACATCATTTTACAACACCAGTAACTACAATAACTGCCTCGGTTAGGCACATTGTTGTTCCACAGAAACTTCACAGTGATTTCCAAAAGGGAGTTGGCAGTTCTGCTCATTAGTGATGCGGTGATGTGCGGTGTGTACATGCCGGTGTTGCAGGAGATTGCTTCGAACGAGCCGCGCCTGATGACCATCAATCACATGGCCCAGCGCATGTCTGACCAGGGCCACTCTCAGCCTGCCAAGATCGGCGAGATCAAGGATGAGCTGAACGCAAGGTAGGGGCTTAGAGCATGAAGCTCAACTTGTGGTGGCTATGTAACACTGTCAATGAATAAGGCAGTAGCGTAGCAGCTGGTCGTGTGTTGCTGTACCACCTTTGGTCAAACAACTATGTTTTGCTACTGAAGAATATAATAAACTCTTTCCAATAGTGGCCATGTACATGTACATGTATGCGTATGCCTGTTGTGTATGCAAGTTGTTATATGCCTACTTTCTACTTCACACATGATCATGTATAGTGCATGCTCGGTTTTGATGAGTTGCTGTTGGTGCACCCAAAGGTAGAAACCTACTAGAACCGGCTGTCTAATGTCGTTGTGAGACTGCATGCAAGTGGTGCAACATAGAGAACCGTATGTCAGTCCATGTGGGGACTCTGAGAACGTGACATAACAGTGCCGGTGTACTGTGCTTGTGAGGCCATCTTCAGCTGGTTTAACCTGTTCGACGCTGTGCACCTATGGGGCATGATGAGCACCTCTGAAAATGTTCCAGTGGGCCGGCATGATACCGTAGCATTACTCACGGGGGAAACTGGCTGATAGTTGTTACATATAGTCCTTGATGTTGTTTGTTGCCAACTGTTCATTGTGAAGGTTTGTGAACCTGAAGGACTTGTCGCGGAAGAAGAGAGCTCAAGTGGACGCCGCACTGGCTGTGCAAGCCTTCTGTGGAGATGTGGATGAGACCATGGTAAGTGTTCACTGCTCAGTGCCATACAGGGCTAAGGAAGTAATGGCTACTACGCCAGGACTTGCTTTATGATAGGAACATTGATGTGAGTGAATAAATCCAAGCCGTTGCTGGGTAACATACATGAACAGTGTTCTAACAGCAGTCTGCCAGTTGTTTCTCCTGCTCTGAGGATCACATCGCTCTCAACAATGGCAGGCACGTGTGCAGTTATTAAACTGCTCACTTAGAAGCTTAGGATACCAAGGCATGCCCGTATGCACGCACACATGCACGCACATGCAGAAGGCTATGCATGTGGAAGACGCTCTATTATCGTTGCGATGACTGTATGTTGCTATGGTCATGACATCTCTTCCTGTGACTGTTCTATGTAGCATATCGTCTTTGACGCAATATTGTAGTTCCTCTCCACCATGATTGGCAGACTAGCGATACTAGTACGCTTAGGATCTGGACGTTTGTGTTGGCAACAGTAGCATAATGACGGAAGTGCAACGTTCTTGTTGATAATTTTAAAAATGTGTATTTATGGAACACTTGTCACGTTGTTGTCCAGCGCTGGATTGCTGAGAAGCAGCATCAGCTGCGCCAGGTGGAGGGCGGTGGGGACATGGCCACTGTACAGAGTGCACAGCGGAGACTGATCGGCACGGAGAGAGACGTGGCCGCCATCACCGACAAGGTACACAATTGGGTTCTACTGGGATTATGCTGTCGAGCAGGTCATGACTAGAGCGTGGGGCAGACAGTGTGAGATCAACCTTCAATGTGCTTGAGATGCCCGTGTTGATGTTTCGTTCTTTCTTCGCCGGGATGGTGGATGAGTTACAGATCTCCAGTTCTTCCACAGCATTGACAACTCTAGGTTATACCTCGGTAGTGCTTGTTTCTATTGAAGTATGCACACTCCTGTAACACTATCAATTTGGTGTGGGTGTTATGGTATGTCATGATACATATTCTTCCCAGACAATCCGAACAACATGCAAACTGACTGCTTGTATTCTCCTTGCGACTGTTGAAATGACCAATACAGATCAAGCAGCTGAACTCGGAGGGTGACAACCTTTCCAGTGCTCATCCAGATGTAAGTACCACACGTTATATCTGTTCCTGCAGTTGTGTCCAAATTTAACCGTGAGGACATAGCTTCTTGCTGATTCAGCATCATCGACACAACACTTGAAGATCCGGTTATAGACCGATTCTCATGTGGTGCAAGTCATGTGCCAATGCCCTACCATTTGATGTACACTAGTTCGAGTGAGTAAATGTAAATCTTTCACACAAACTAGTGACTAGTACGATTCAAGTGAACCTGCATAAGGTATATCTGTCAGTGGCCACATTCGCTTCAGTTGTGGGCCTGGTGATATACTCGGTGTGGCATGCGTCTTGTGACTCTTGTATTTTCCTATTCATCAGGCTGAGGAGGTGATCAGCGAGAAGCAGAAGGCCCTGCAAGACATGTGGAAGGACCTGACAGATGCTGTAAGCTATTCGTTGTGTGCAGCTCTATGTGTGCAGCTCTCTGCAGCCCGAGGCAGCTCCGAGATGACTTTGTTTTTAGTGACCTAACTTTGAACAATGGGTGTTTTCAGCTATGAGGATACTGATGCAAACAACTCATGGGCAATATGCTGGGGCAACTGATTGACATGAAGTTATAGCGGCAACAGCAGTAAACCGGGCTTGCCATTCTAGGGGATTCATCATTCAGTGCAGCCGGCAGTTTCAGCCATTGCTGCTACACTCCTTTTCAAAACATGTCTGATGGTGAAACAAAGCAGGACTGGTATGTTTGAAGCTTGTAAACTAGCCGAGCTCTTTACACTGTAATCGGCTCACAAGTTTCTCATTTGTTTGGCGCCCGTTTTCTCACATTGTGTTTCTGTGTAGCTGGAACAACGCCGGTCCAAGATTGGTGACTCGAGCAACGCACAAGAGTTCCTCCAGGAGTTGATTGTCTTCCAAGATTGGTAAGGCAAAGCCCTGCAGAACGCTGCAGAACGCTGCAGTGGAACACAGTGTTTGTGTATTGCTTGTGCGAGTGGGATTTTCTGCCTTTGACCACTTGGTGATGGGCATGGTCAACTCGCTGACCTCCCGCCACTTAGGAGCTGCATCTGCACCTTTATCGTAGAGGGTGGTGGCGTTTCTGAGTCTGACGCGAGCCATGATTTCTGTATTTTTTGTTAGGATATCGGTTTGATTAGTGCTGTAGCTTACTGTGCTGTTTGAATCCTGTCATGATTACAGGATTGATGCTGCCAGGCTTAGAGCTGCATCACAGGAGGTGGCAAACAACGTCACTGATGCCGAGGCTCTACAGAAGCAGCACAAAGATCTGAATGTCAGTTGTACTCCTCGTCTGTTTGTTTATGTGTGTGTATGTGCACGTGTGCACGTGTGTGTGCACGTGTGTGTGTGTGTGTGTGTATGTGTGTGTACGTGTGTGTGTGTGTGTGTGTGTGTGTGTGTGTGTGTGTGTGTGTGTGTACCTGCCTGCGTACCTGCATGCATGTATGGCTAACATGAACCAAGGCAGCACTATACCGGTAGTGTCAGCAAGCATGCCTTGTCCTCCTCAGTACGGCATGTGTCACCCAGGACCCCATTCCTTTCTATATACCTTTCCCCAGTGTACTCTATGTGTACAGTCGGTGCAGCCTGTGCAGAATCATTTGTCGTCTTTGCCATAAGCAGCCATACGGGTGAATCACTGATTCAGTCATGCCTCTTTCTTCCTCTTGCAGGCCGAGATTGAGTCGTATCAACCTACGTTTGAGAAGCTAAAGCAGCACGGAAAGGTGATCATCACCGATGCCAATGATCCAGCACAGAAGGAAGCTCACGAGGTGAGTGTCGACATTCATGTACACATTGCTGTGCAAGCCGGTTCATCCCTCTGTTTTACTTGCCGCATGCCAAGTTGTCACAATAGTCTGCACAAGCTGGATATTTCTGTTGCTGAAAATACATGTATGCGGGGAGTATATCCTGTTGCTGTTCATGCCCCGAGTGCTGCAGTACATCTTTCCACCTAATATCAGTTTGGAGTGACCTTTCCATCAATCCGGTGTAGGCAAAGGGTCACTGCGGACAACACACTAGAAATAAGGCAATGGTGTGTGGATGGATGGGTGTCTTGTTTGTGTGCATCTGTGCTTGTAGCAGTCTGCTATTGCATGCTCAGACAGAGGTGTGTCGGTGAGGAATTGCCCTGCAGAGATGGTGACTGGCGCCTTGCCGTGTCACCCTCTACCAAATATCAAGTATTTGTTTTTTCGGTGTTCCTATATTGCTCTCCGTCTCTCCTGCTTATAGCGGTTGTCCAAGCTGGATGACGTGTGGGGTGACCTGCAAAAGGCCTGGGACGCCCGTCAGAAACTTCTTGAACAGAACCACAAGCACCAGGTAATACTTATCGGCATTGAAAACGAAATCACGGGTTGTGAACATTGCAGCTTGCGATTAATGGAGGATGAGATTGTATTCTATAATGTTTACCTTCTATACGGAACTGTCTCGCAGCCTCTGATACTCAATCGTCAAGGTACGAATATACTATTATGCTGGTGAGAGTCTGTCGTTTGGTGCATGATGGTCCCGTGTGTGTTCATGTGTGTTAATTGCTTCTAGACATTCCGTCACAATTTAGAGCGCGCAGAGGTTCTGCTGAAGGAGGAAGAGGCTTTCTTGGCGGACCAGGAGCTTGGAGTGAGTTAGCAGTGTGTTTGCTAGCTAGCCAACCAAACTGTATACTGTACACGTACTCTAGTATTCGCCCCGGCGTAGCTCTCAGATGTCCCATTGGTAACTTAGTCTATGCCTATGCCCTGATTCTGCCACTGTTCTGATCCTCCAAGTACTGCTAACATTCCCGTAGCAATGCCAAAACATTATGATCAGTTGCTTGAAGTTTGTGCAATGCTCTAGCTCAATGATAATTTGTTGGTGCTTATGGACGGTACTCCTTTCTTTATGTTGCCCGCCTTCCTTGCAGACAACTTTGAACGAGGCAGAGGCCAAAGTGAAGCGATTTGACGAGGTGAACTCCCGCTTGCCGTCTCATGACGAGCGTGTCGATGCACTGGTTGCTGATGCTGCGGCAAGGAAAGCCGAGGATCACTATGCTGCGGATGAAATGACCGGACTGGCAAAGAGCCTGGCTGATAGGTAAACACTGGACTTGGTTCGAGGGATAAACATTAAACAAGCCTCCATGGTAGTAAACAAAACAGATGTAAACACAGCTGTTCCCTAGTCTCCTGTACTGTGAGTATACAGCACAGCAAAGCTGTGCTGGACTGTGCTGTATCATGACCCTGATTCATCATACAAGTAGTGTTACTATTATCATTAATTGTTCTCTTATTGCCATTCTTCTCTCTAGACGTGATACCAATCGCCGTCGCTTCACACAGCGTCGGCAGGCACTGAACGACTCTCTGGCCTTGCACCAGTTCCACAGGGAAGTGGACGAGGTTAGTCATGCCGCAGTCATTCAGAAAGAATTGCCACAGTTTGGCGAAGTCTTTGTAATCGTGCTGATTATCCAATGGATGATGCATGTACTGTTTTCACCCATTGCTTTTCGAGAATAATCACCATATCTTCGCGCTGACGAAGGTCTTTGTACCACCCACTTCTCTGTACCTACCTTGCTAAATGATTGCTTCTTCAGGTTGGCGACTGGATTGCTGAGAAAGTGCAGATTGCCCAGGACGAGAACTTCCGCCAGCCAGAGAATCTTCCAAGCAAGGTGACACGCCACGAGGCCTTTGAAGCTGAACTGTCGGCCAACAAGGATCGCCTGGACAATGTACACAAGGTGAGTTCTGTACTGTTCTGTTAGTTGTCACCGTGCTGTTTGTAGGGTGCATTGTCTTGGAAGGAGAGTGAAAGGGCCGGGAAACCACTCTTCGGAATTTCGGAGTCCTTTTGAGTTTCGGAGTCCTTATTGATGATGATGGTGAAGAAAAGCTCGAGATTTGTAGTTTTTCTTTCCCTGATAAGCTTCCTGTCTCCAAGAAAGTTCTTAAACCACTCTTTGGCAGTTTTTGTGCTAGGAAGGAAGAGCAAGTGCATGTATGTGGTATCATCGTACCATAGCCAGAGTAGATACACATGTTTGAATACTTATACTGGGAATTCATGCCAGCATCTACTATGGCCGCCATGTATAGCTTACACTATCATTGCCTTTGCCGGGGTGGGCCGCTGGGCTCGAATAGAACAACCCGTAAACATGTAGCATAGTGTTGGTGCAGAGTGGATGCAGCATTGTAACGTGGGCTATCAAGGGAGAAAACCCAGGACGGAGCTGCCGTGGCATGCTGTACTGTGTTGCTACGTCCAAACATGTTGCGTCCTCCACCATTAATTTTATATCTGTGGGAACTACTCCTAGCAGCTTTTATTGAGACACCGTTCCTTTGTGGCATGGTTGCTCAATAGTTTTGTGTGCATTGATTTATGCCATGTTTCCTTGTGTAGACTGGAAATGCCGTCTCAGCCTCCCAGCCTGCGGCCAAGGATGATGTTGCAGCACGCTTGTCCGGTATTGATGACAAGTGGCAGGCATTGTCTAACGAGACTGCCAACAAGGGCCGTCGGCTGAAGGAAGCCGTGCAAGGTCAGCTGTTCCGACGTGGCGTGGACGATCTCAATGAGTGGATGGACACCACGGAAACTCGACTGGCAAATGACGACGTGGGCGATGATATTCCCTCTGTCAAACAACTCATCAAGAAGCACAAGGTAAAGGGCGAGTGTTGTCAGCAGCCATGCCAGTGAGGAGAAAGAGCCGCTTGAAGGCATTGTTGAACGTTAGCCTGTCTGTACTCAGCTTCACAAGTTGTACATTTGCCAGACCGTGTAGGCGGAATAGGAAAGAAAAGACGGTTGACAGTGGCCCGGTACAATGTGTTCTCCTGCCTCTTCCTCTGCCATAACCACGCAATAGCTAAAGATTACCCTTACCAATGAGCTATGTTTGTCACTTGCCTGCCCTTTCCATCTATATTTTCCAGTTACTGGAGAGTGATGTCAGCGCACACCAGCCTGGTATTGAGGATGTTCAGAAGGATGCCGGTCAGATGAAGGATGGCGGTCACTTTGATGCCGAGGTCATTCAACAACTGGCCACAGATCTGGAGACCCGCTACAACTCCCTCGCTGCGCCCATCAAACAACGAGCCAATCGGCTGGAGGAGTCGCGCAAGTTCCAATCATTCCTTCGGGACATTGACGAAGAAGATGTAAGTCTTGATGGAACAGAGAGTAGTGGTACTCGATTTTGATCAACTAAATAGCCGGGCTCTTCTGAACAAATCAGAAAGACTTTGGTGTGTAGTACTCCAACCTTTGTCAGCCGCAAATGGCCTGTCCGTAGTTAGGTCGTGGCTATGCTCAATGGTTTGATGTTTCTCCCACAGTGTGGCAGTGTATGGAGAACATGTGTGTCATGTTTCTTGGAATCGTACACCACACTGAACGAAATGAGAAGCAGATGTGAGGACAGCATAGCTGGCGTACATGTAATGTGTTGGCCCCTGCCTATCTCTCGGTATATTCTTTTCATGTCCCAGGTGTGGATTCAAGAGCACTTGCCGAGAGCCGAGTCCACTGACTATGGATCAACATTGCTTGAAGCACAGCTCTTCCTCAGACGCCAACAGGTATAGGAATGTAACAATAAGGCTGTTTGCTGCTTCTAGAAGGCTTGCTGCCGTATCAAGAAAATTTGACACTGGAAATGAGATTGACCTGTATGATAAGATTCACTGTTACAAAAGGTGTAGACATTGCACCGCTGTGTGTACTGCCGAGTTCGACTTCAGAGGTTTCTAATGGGGCTGGTCAATCATCTCTATTGTTTCCTCAGGTGCTGCAAACTGAAATCGATGGCCACGTTCCATTGATCAACGTCGCCCAGAAGACTGGCAGCGATCTCGTCACTGATGGTAACTTTGCATCGGAGAAGATTGAGGACCGCTTGCAGCGCCTGAAGGAGCGCTGGAGCACACTGTTGTCGGCTGCCGACCTGCGCCAGCGTCAGCTGGACAGGTCTGAACATTGCCATCAGGTTAGTCAGAGCTCGGTTTTAAGTAACGGGTATGCATTGTGTGTACATGTAGCCAGGAGATCCAAGTGTGATGTCGGTGCCACTACCGCAATTGTGGTCATGAACACAACATGAATGATAGAACTTGTGTCGACTATCGGTTGGTGTTTGAATGCATGCTGCTTTAGCATGTCAACGTGTGTGTGTGTGTGTTTGTGTGTATGTGTGTGTGTGTGTGCATGTGCGCGCGCGTGCGTGTGTGCGTGTGTGTGTGTGTGTGCGCGAATGTGTATGTGTGCATGTGTATGTTCCTGTACATTTACACGTCCGTGTACGTTTGTGTTTGCGTGTGTGTTACATGTAGTACTTATTGGATGCAGCTGAAGCGCAGGCCTGGATGAGCGAGCAAGAACTTTTCCTGATGGTGGATGACCGTGGCAGGGTGAGTACTTTTAACCCATTCAGTGAAGAAGAAGAAGAAGAAGAAGAAGAAGTTGTTGTTTGATATCCAAAGTGTGAAACATATCGTTAGTTGTAACCTTCCTGAAATTTATTTGTGCTAACTAGGCAAAAGCCGATTGAGTGATAGTGATAGGGTCCCTTGAGCTGGGAGAATTAGGCTGCTTTTTTGTTTTGATACTGCCCGGGTAGTGAACATCACTTTAGTAGAGAACATCACTTTCCCTTCTACTCGTCTGTATCATCAGTGTGCTGTTTGTACTTTCCATGATCACTTATGTGTGTGTGTGTGTGTGTGTGTGTGTGTGTGTGTGTGTGTGTGTGTGTGTGAATTATAGGATGAGGACAGTGCACAAGCCCTGCTGAATCGCCACGAGATCATGGCTCAGGATATCAAGGAGTTCCGCAACACCGTGGATAGCCTAGGTGCCACGGCAAAGGCCATGTTGGACGCAGAGCATTTCAACAGGTATGGTGGAAGTGATACATGGCCGTGTAGGGGTGCCACATGGTTGAAGTCAATGTTTTACTATCCACCTGCAATGTGCTTGTAAACAACCACCAATTCATGCCCCATGCTTATTCTTTCTGAAGTAGAACCTACTCAATGAGTGGAGGAACTCTCTGTGAATTAGTACACAGGTGCTTCCAGTCCAAGTACGTGAGCTAGTGCAGGGAGGAAACTGGACTCGCACGTTTGGGTTTCATTTGTGCTCTTCGCTGCAAACCCTGCTACCCGACCGAGTAAGATGCTGCGGTATTCATAGTCAACTCGTGTGTGCGTGCGTGTGTGTATGCTGGTGCAGTGACACAATCTCCATGCGCCAGTCCCAAGTTGACAAACTGTACACCGGACTGGTGGATTTGGCTGAGGAGCGTGGTGCCAAGATCAAGGCTTCTCTTGAGATGTTCCACTTTGGCAGTGAGGTGAGTGTGTGGCAATATGGCAGGCAGTCTTGTGAAGAGTGCAATGCACTTATAAGATGTAAGATCATGAAGCAGGCACTACATTTTAGCGTAGATATGCAGTGAGTATCTTCTCACTTCATCTTCAATAGTAACCGATAATGATGCTGTCCAGTTTATTGAACCGAATGTCTGTGTTTGTCCAGCACCCACACTGACTTTGGCATTGCACGATAGTTGTCCTTTCTTAGGTGTTCTGCTGTATACTCACGATGTAGTGTGTGTGTGTCTGTTGGTGTGCCTGTATTGTCGTGTTGATCTGTTGTGTGTCTGTATTGACAGTACGAGGACACGGTGATGTGGCTGGGTGAGCAGCGTGCCATAGCTAGCAGCAAGGAGCTAGGACAACACTATGATCACAATGTGGTGAGCACACACACACACACACACACACACACACACACACACACACACACGCACACGCACACGCACACGCACACGCACACGCACACGCACACACACACACACACACACACACACACACACACACACACACACGTACAGCCAAAAGCTGCTTTAAAGTGCTTTGCTCTGCAGTGCCATGCTTTGAACAACATACCTTATTATGATTTTGATATACAGCATCTTCTTTCTAAGAAGCAATCAACATAGATGGTGTTGAGTATGCATGCCTGAACGTAGCTCAATACTCCGACATAGTGGATCTGCAGGTATAGATAGTGTGATTGTCTTCACACTCTCACTGTCCATGTCAGAGTATACTTATGTAGTAATATAATCATCATACCATGTTGTGTTTTTCTGTGGGCACAGCGTCTGCGCGAGAAATTCAGCCAGTTCTCGCAGAAGACTCGCTCGACTGGCCAGGATCGTGTGTTGGCGTTCAGCAAGCTGTGTCGTGGCCTGGTGGACAACAAGCATCCGCAAGCCAGCAAGATCAGCAACTCATTGGCTGGTGCTGAGCTACAGTGGGTGAATGTGAAGGAACTCCTGGACACTAGGACAAAGGTAAAGCCTGTCGACCCACGCATGTGTCTGCTGTATAGCCAGCAGTGACCCACTTCAGTGTGTACTGTGTGCTGAATGCTTTCTAGTCAGCTGATAACAACATATCTTTGGGGATGGAGCAGAAACACCAGTAGAACATAGCTGAGTTGTAACGTTATAGTGAGCAGCCCATACAGTGCAGTAGCAACTAATAAGACAACGAGTAGCATATCTGCAAATGCTGGACGTTGATGATGAATGCAACACTGTGTGTGCTGTCATACAGAATTGTGGAAGCCGTTTTTCTCCCTCATATTCATGTGATGGTGGCTGCTGTTGTCTTTCAACTGTTTCATGTGACTGCCATAGGCTCTGGCTGATGCTGGCGAGATCTTGCACTATTACGGAGATGCAGAGGAGTTATCATCACGTATCAAGGTACAGTGACATGTGCGAAATGAAGCTGGCAGGATGCATGGCCCACAAGTGCAGTATGTAAGACACTGGAGTTCCTTGGCTCCACTCTCACTCTCACCTTGTCCGTGACTCATTGCTTGGTCTAGGATTCCAACTTGTCAATTTCCACAAGTCCTAGTGGAGGTAAAGGACACTGCTTGGTTGCATTCACATAGTATTAGGGATGCCGGTAACCTGCAGTTTCTTGTTTGATGAGGCGCAATGACCCTCTGTCCAATGCAGACTGCAAAACATTGTTGCACTCATGTCTCTATTGGTGTTCTTCAAACTCCTAGGAGAAGTCCATCAGTCTGTCTCGGGATCTGGGCCGCGACCTGGCCTCCGTGCAAGCTCTGCGTCGTTATCACCAGGCAGATCTGGGCCAAGCTGATGGCTTTGAAAAGCAGGTACGTACGTGTACTCGTGTACTCGGGCACTGCAATACGTCTGCATGTCTGCATGCTGAAAAATACTGTCTGTTTTATGTAGAATGTCTCGAGTTTGCTGAGTGGTGCATGGACAAGAGAAGAGCTAGCGTAGATACAGTCCGGTAAGAGTACATGGCTGTCAAGTAACACTGTACCATTCTGTGCTGCAGGTGACCCAACTATCCGAGGAAGCCCTACGTCTGTCCGAGACCTATCCAGACAAGTCCGATGACATCGCTGCCAAGGAGCAGCAGGTGGACAGCGCCTGGCAGGTGCTGCGGCGCAGGATTGCCGACCGTTCGCAGCGCCTGGAGGAGTCCGAGAGCCTGTATCAGTTCCTGGTGCGCCTGCGTGATCTGCTGCTGTGGGCAGCCGACATGCGCATGCAGATCTCCAGTGACGAACAGCCAAAGTAAGAGTTGATACTGACAAGCCAATGACATGTGAGATACCTGTGCAGTTAGAAGGGGTGGAAATGTAGATACAATTTTGGAAATTATATTGTGTACTTGCTGGTCATGCATAGCAACTTTGGCAGCGGAAAAAAGAGAATATCCCGTGTACAGCACTCAGCAGTGTAAGCAACCTTCTCAGTCCTCCACTGGATAAGGATGCTAACTGTTCTGGCGATGCTCCAGTGACTAATATTATTGTATGCTCCTGTGTTGTTTGTAGGGATCTGGTGGTTGCTGAGAACCTGATCAATCAGCACAAACAGCGCAAGGCCGAGATCAGCGCCAGGGCGGACAACTTTGAACGTGCCCAGGAGCTGGGTAGAGAGATGGTGAAGCGTCAGCACTATGCCAGGCAGCAGGTAAGCGTGCAGCTGTCTACCGGTCTACGAGTCCACAGGTCTATGGGTTCACTGGTCCATGGGTCCAAGGGTCCACGGGTCCACCGGTCTACGGGTCCACGAGTATGTGGGTCTGCAGGTCCGTGGATCTACAGGTGTACGGGTCCGCATGCCCACGGGTCTACAGGTCTATGGGTCCACATGCCCACGGGTCCATATGCCTGCGGCGCGGGTCTGCAGGTCTACGGGTCTACAGGTCCACTGCTGATAAAACTTCCAACGCACCCGTAGTTAGACTTTCAACATCTCATAGTGGAGAAAAATAGTAAGCTTTGCTCTGACAGCATCTCCAGAGGGAGGGCTAACCAGTCCATGAGTAAATTCGGGTTTACAATATTCGCGATTTGTGTGTGAGTCAGTCATACTGACTTCTCCATATCTACTAAGCATAGGTGTGCCAACGACCTCAAGGATCAAGGAATCTCCCATGTAGGGTTCATGGCTGAGAGAATTTAATAATCGTGCTGGATTTGGATTGGGAAAATCATGTCATCTTCCCGAGCTCTTTTCAGCATAGCATTTATTCTACATGACGTGTGTGTGTGTGTGTGTGTGTGTGTGTGTGTGTGTGTGTGCGCGCGCGTGTGTGCGTGTGTGTGTGTGTGTGCGTGCATGTAGGTCAGCGATCGTCTAGCACTGCTGGAGGGTCAGTTGGATGCACTGAACCAAGACTGGGAGGAGCATGAGAAAGAGCTCCATCTGTGTAAGTCAACCGAAGTGTCCACCTTCTATGTATGTGCTTGATCACCCTGCAGGACCCTGAACAGGTTGATGACAACTTTTAAAAACTTCGTTTTTGTTCAAAGACCAGTGTGTATAGCATGCATTGTAAAGCTGGATATTGTTTGTTTCCTGAGCTGATTCTGTATACCCTCTCTTTGCGATGCGTTTGCACGCTTGTACATGCACGTGAATGCCATGTTCACTCATTCGTGCACAGTCCACACAACACACAAGTTCTCCCGGGATGCCGGCACAGCCGAGTCCTGGCTGGCTGCCAACGAAGGGTTCTTGGCCATGCCCGACGTTGGGGTAAGTGCAGCATGCATATCGAGGAAGCTCGCTTAGGGTGCACCACTACTGTTAAGGTTACCAATAAGTACTTCGAAGTACATACTATGTGTGTGACATTGTCACCCCAGTGCATGCTCGCACGCATGTGAATTTGATGATGAGAAGCATGGCTAAAAAAGTCAAGAGGAGCTCCACTGGCGAGTACTCTACCGTAATTATGGCATTGATCAGTACCACTGTGTCTATTCAATAAGCACTCGTAAAGTATTCTTATGCTGTGTTGTTAAAATATATCCTGCTTTTCAAATGTCGTGCAGGATTCTCTCGACTCGGCCGAAGCATGGCTAAAGAAGATGGAAGATTTTGAGAAGACCATGGCGTCGCAGGAGCAGCGCTTCCGAAGCCTGGACAAGTCAACGTCGGTAAGTTGTTGTGATGCATTGGCTGATGCGCTATCGTCTAGACGTCTGTCAGTGTTTTGTTGCACTGCTCGGGCCATTTGTAAAGCAAGTTGGTGTGTACAGTCACGTTATATGCAGAGTTCAGTTTACTCACGGCATCAAGCCACAGCTGTAGGCCAATATAGACCTTACATGGGCGTCCAGAGGTATTGCTGATGACACCTGATTTCTGTTGCCTTCCTTGTTCAAATACATTTGTGACTGATCGTTGTTTTCATGGGGATTAGTCAAGATCATCAGCTGATTAGCGTATTTGCTCAGCCGGATGGTGAGCCGGGGAGTGAGCCAGGTTGTTCTCTTGTGTACGTTTCTCTTTCTCTAACTGTAGTTTGAAGACCACCAGAAGAGCACCGAAAAGCGCTTGTCGCTGGGCAACATGCGCGACGGTCACAGCCGTGCTCCACTCGCCCATCGGCGCAGCTTCACCGACATCTTTGCCGACATTCCCCTCACCGAGCAAGCCGTGGAGGAAGAAGAGGAAAGGCAGCGCATGGCAGCCGAAGCTGCCGAACGTGCGGCCATTGCCGAAGAGGAGCGCAAGGCCGAGCTCGAGGAACGTCGTGCTCAGCAAGCTGCAGGGCTGGACACCCTTGCCGAGGAAGAACCACCCAGTGAAGCAGCGACGACGATGCAGGAAGAACCCATCACTGAGCTACCTGCCGTCACCCCAACTACCGCAGAAGACACTGCACATGTTGAGGATACTGCAGCACCCGCCGCCAGCGAACCAACATCACCGGTACCGCCTCCCTCAACGGAGGTCGACACCAAACCGATCGAGGACAACGCAGCAGCAGCGCCAGATGATACTCGTGCTGCAGAACCGACAACGCCCACTAAGCCAGCTGGAGAGGTGTCACACACCACACCAGCTACAGCGGTTTCTAGTCCAGTGGTAAGAGATCTAGCTAGTGACGCATTATCATCAGGCAATGTTTCTCCCATGATGCCTTGATAGACGAAGTGGTGGTTTGCACTTTAGTGGCATGAGCAGAGCAGGTTGTCTCAGTACTCCTTGTCAGTGTTGTGCCATTTTGTCGCACTCGCTGACTGTATATGATCTGGTTACGTTGGTGGACAGTTAGTCATAACGCGTAACATGTTGTCCTTCTCCTTTTTATCTATGATTACAAATTTAGTATTCTTTGCTTGGGGAAACGATCACAATAATTATTATTATCCGACATAAACTGATTCCTGAATAGCTTTTAGTGTATTCACACCAATGCCAAAAATAATGGGGAGACTACATGAACATCAGAATTGGCGTGCTACTTCTGTGTTTTCCTTTGCTCATGTTCCTAGACTATTCAAGTTCCGGATGATTCCGCCGCTACTTCGCCCAACAAACCCCAGCAAGAACCGGAGCAGGCACAATCTACTTCAGAAAGTGCACCTGTAGTTGCTGACACGTCGTCTTCATCTCCAGCTGCTGAAGCTGCACCAGCTGCAACAGCAGCAGCCAGTGAGGGGACATCAGAAGTGCCTGCTGCAGCCGCAGAGGACGCCAAGCCTGACGACACAGCGACACCAGCAACACCAGCAGCAGCTCCTGCCCCTGCTGCCAGCGAACCAGCAGCTCCTGCCCCTGCTGCCAGCGAACCAGCAGCTGATCCTGCAGCAGAGACTGCTTCGGAACAGGCCACATCCAGCGAAGCGCCATCAGCGACAGCATCTGCAGCAGAGTCTACTCCAGCGTCACCTGCGTCAACGATGGGACGCAAATCATCAGTTGTGGACATCACCTCCTTGTTGAAGGCCAACTTACCACGCAAGTGGGAGATGGTGGCGAATGGAAAGCGCTCCTCCAGTCGGTATGTATCATTGAAGATTGCATTTGAAAGTGACTGTTGATTTGAGTATTGAGAAAACACGGCAATGGCAACATCATAATCATAACAATCATGTACATGTATCTATAAACCGGTACGGTGTGTTCTTCTGTTGTCTGTGTACAGTACGTGGAAGACACACTACACTGTGCTGCGTGGTGCACAGCTGACGTTCCACAAAGATGCGCGCGATGCACAGCGTGTAAGAATCTGAGTGGTGCTATGCTGCATGATTGTAGCGCATGTCAATGAGTGTTTTTTTTGTTTGGTTCGGCGAGCTTAGGGTCTAAACTTGGATGCTGCATTTCAGGGCGCGCTATATTATGGCCACGGGAGCAGCAGCAGCAGCAGCACAACCCAATTAGTATTAATCACGCACCCAGATCAAAGCATACAGCAATGCTTCACACGCACAGGTGATACTAACCTGCCCCGTCCACATGGTTTATAGCTGCTGTCATGAGCGAACACCATTGACTGGCATACCCTTCGTGTGTTGTGTCTTGCAGGGTGAAGAGTCGACTGCTTCGGTTGTCCTCATCGGCGGAACAGCCTCTGCAGCCACCGACTACGCTAAGCGAAAGAATGTCATCCGTGTCAGGTACAGCACTTAGTTTGGTGTTGTGCTATAAGCAGCATGCAGGACACGGGACTGTACACGCAACTCCAGCTCATGCATATGGGCATTCTGTCCATTATTGGCGGTGGTGGTGGTGGTGTTGGTGATGGTGGTGGTGGTGGCGGCGGTGGTGGTATAGGTGGTGGTGGTGATGGTGGTGGCGGCGGTAGTGGTGTAGGTGGTGGTGGTGGCAGTGTTGGGTACATTAGTCTGCCTGTTCCTGGTCAGTTATGCATGGTCTGCTCTCATTGTGTTCTGCTGCTCCCACCGTAGGACAAGCGGCGGAGGAGAGTATCTATTCGAGACCAAGGACGCGGTATGTATGATAGTGCAGGGATATGTAATACTCATAAGCGTGATGAAATGTATGCCAATGATTGGAAGAATTGATGCCCACCTGCAGACTGTAGGCCTAGCAGATTGGATAGTGGATGCCATGTAATTGTGGACATAACGAAATGTCTCATTTGAAAGACGTATTGGAACGCAGCAATACCGTGAGTTGGCCGAGTATCAGCATAACAAATGTATACTCTTCTGTTCACCAGGAGGAGATGACAGAATGGATCGAGGGCATCAACCAAGCCAGTCTCGTTGACACACAGTTGGCAGCGGTTGCTCAGCCTGGTCCGCCGACAGCAGGAGACGAATCCGGCCCAGCATCGCCACCACCCGGTGAGGAATTTAAGAAGAGAGACACCAAGCGCCGCAGTCTGTTCCGCAAGAAGTAAACCTGGACATGTCGCCTTTCCAGTAATACTGAGCCCTGAACGAATACTATTTTTTTGATCTTGTCAACCGCCACATGCTGGATTTTTGCTTCAACTTCATTTCCTTTACGTTGCAGTCATTGATTTCATGAAATTCGATCTAAATTCGTTTACTTTTGACAAATCTATTTTAGAGAATTTATCTATAAAATAGTGTTGCCTGGCTGAGTTTTTTGTTTGTCTAGCTGGCCTTCCAAGTTATCAAACATTTTCTGTTGCCAGATCTGTTTCCTTGTTAAAAAATGACATTTTGATTTACTCGAAAGCGACCGAAAATTTTTAAAAGGTTTTTTTATCTAGTGGAATTGCTCACGTTGGAAACGGAAACGGTGTCCTCTCTGGGTACAGAACACCAGCAAGTACGGCTAACCATCAGCAGCATACCTCTACATTGAACTGACAATGACAGTGTACTGCTGATGCGGCTACGGACTTGACTAAAGAGTTTTGAACCCTGTCGACGCGGAGTGGCAGAAAGACGATTATGCAACGCGTGTGACACAAACTGCTTCAATATCTGCCGGCAGACCAGCCTCAACATGTGCAACGTGTATAGAGTGATGGTTGGTTTTGTCGTGCTACCAGTTTCAACATGTGCAACGTGTATAGAGTGATGGTTGGTTTTGTCGTGCTACCAGTCTCAACATGTGTAACGTGTATGGAGTGATGCTTGGTTTTGTCGTGATTGATCACTTGCCTAGTTTTCAGTACACGGTGAAATCGTCATCCCGGCAGACATAATATTGACGTGCCGCGGGAAGACAACACTTTACTTTAGGACAAGGGATTGTCCATGATAGTGATTCAGTCACGCCGAGCGTTCAGAATGTACAGTACTCAGAGGAGAGTATCCATGCGCACATGATGCCATAAAAGTCAGTATGTTAGTCTGGAGTTCATTTGCCACGACTGGAGTTGCACCGAAAGCGTATTAATGGCAACACGTTCAAAACCTTCCAAAGCTGTTATGTGCTTCTCAATACATAGCTGTTGTACGGAGGTAACGCGTATGTGCTAACTTTACTTTAATATTATTTAAAATGCCAAAGTTGGTACCGTAACCTTGCCGTAACCTAATGACCACAGTCCATGCAGTACTGTGTATTTTTTATAGTGATGTATAACAAGTGGGAGCAATGCAATGGTACTGGACTCCCTGATGCAAAGCCTCATTCCGAAATTCAGGACTACAAATTACAATAATTATGTAATTGCAGTATATTATACTGCAATGACTATACCTTTAGCTTAGATGTTCAGTGAAGGCATCATCTTGAGCACGTGACAACGAGAGAACTGCACGTGTGGTATACGCCACCTCCAAAGCCTCAGTAATACTGTAACCAGTCAGTGCAGTGTGTTACTTTCTGAGCTAAACAATGTGTGTTAAATCAAAAAAATATTTATAATGCTTGACACTGAGATAGTTACATATACAGCGGCACTTAGCATCATAACGAAGGCTGATTCGGTAGAGTTTAATAGGTAAACCAAGCAAGAATACACTCAGCAACTCTACTGTCCGTAGACTGAGTGGAGTCACAGTGTATGGCAGTTGCTTTATCATAGGAAGTCGATCGGACACAAAAGACAAAACAAAACTCAACAAAAGTCAAGCACGATTTTGATTTTGGGAGATGAACCACCATTCAGCACACGTACACGTGCACGCCAGGCGCCGCGGTTGTCTGTTTTCGTTTGGCACTTTATGGGCCATGCCGATGTCGCGTATACGCGTACATAATGCTCTTCATGTGGCCACGTGGCCGATCTCAGCTCATGCAATGAGCATACGATCTGCGCGTGATATCACACAGATGTCAAAGACTTTTTTTGCGACGTCGCCAAGGAGGTTGTGCTCGCGAGTTCGAGTTGCTCAGCTTGAAAGTACAGTATACCATGGTATACTGGTCGTAGTTGTAGCTGCACCTTGTCCTAGTTCATGATCTGCGAACGAGGATATCGAAAATAATTCCCCTCATCGTGAATCACTTTCTTCCTTGTTATGAATCTGCTTGTATGGCTATTCTAGTTCTTTGGTATGGGTGACAGAGCTTTATTGGAAAAAAATTCACGTCTACCTGTAGTTGCTGTCGTTGAGTGATGGCATGAATTTTGAATTTTCTCATGGAAAACGTGTTTCAAACCATTGACAGAGATGTCTAGTCCTGAGAAAGATGCGTCCGTTTCTAGAAAGGCTGCGCTGCCCGATGGCTTGCTGCTACAACTGAACGATGCTAGTTCTCTGTTCACTCCTGTCAAGGCTCTGAATCGCCTCAGGTATACATGCCTGGCGGTGTCTTCGCGATACGTGGCCCTTGGTGCGAATACTGGGGGACTGTACATATTTTCCCGTTCCAGCGTTTGGGAGTATTTGAACATCGTACCCAACAGAGATGGCGTTGGGTCGATGGTCAGCGTTGCCTTCTCGCCGAATGATAATTTCGTTGGTATGTGTTTTGCCAAGCACGTGGGAGTTTGGGAGTTGAATCTGGATGGTCGGAATAAGCCAGTCCGTATCAAGTGGACAGCATGTGAACATCAGTCACCTATCACATGTTTGGCGTGGGACATGTATGGAGCTCGTTTATTTTCCGGTGATGAGCGTGGCCTGGTAACTGTGACGTATCTACCACCAGCCAAGGTGTCGCGCAAAGGAAATGATGCATGCAAGAACCGGCCGTTCCGCAAAGATGAAATCATCTACCGCGCCGACAGTGGTATTGTCCAGTTGGACTTCAAGGACACAACACTACTGGTATCGGCCAAGAAGTCGTGCTTTGTACTGGACACACATCAAGAAGTGGCACGGCAGCTTGGCCAGAAGCCACGCGACGGCCAGTTTGGTGGCTGCTTGCGTATCTTGCGCAAGGAAAGCGGGCGTGGTGAATTGCTGGTGTATACGGCCCGGCCTGGCGGAAGAGTTTGGGAAGCGCCAGTGTCCGAGATGAAGGTCTCCACCACACATAAGTTGAAGGAAGTGCTGCAGGCATTGCCGCACACGTTCTTTGGCACGGAGTACGATCCAGGGGTAGTCCTGCCAGCTGCAGACCTGCAGTCCGCCGCTCTCATCTTCCCATCACTGCATGTTATCTGCAGCCGGTATCTAGTGCTGTGGAACCGCACTGTGTTGTGCGTGTACGATCCCAATGGTGAGGAGAAAGCAAGGCTGCTCCACTGGTGTCCGTTCCTTGATGAGATCAGCTTTGTCGAGTGCTATTCAAACGAGGTGTACATTGCGCATGCCGGCGCTAGCAAGATCACTCACTTGACCTGTTCTAGTCCCGCCGATGCAGTGGCACTACTCTACCATCATCCAGCACAGCTCAAGTTACAGGCCGTGGAAGTGGCATGCCGCTATCTCAGCGTTATTAAGTTGGGTGGGTGTCGACGCAGTGTGCCGCTCAAGCTGCTTGATCAGTTGCTGGATTTCTACAGTTTGCAATCTGACCAAGTGCTGATGCTTTCATTGCAGCAGCTGAGAGAGGAGGCAGAGGAGAAGGAGGCGGATGATCACACGGACGGTGGGTACAGCGTGTTGCCCTCCGGCATCGTCTCCGTCATTCCCAACTCGCGCTCTTCCAGCTCGCGCAGTTCTCCGTACGGCATGGACAATGCCGGATCTCGTTCTAGCAGCGTGAGTAGCTTTTCACGCATGCTGGACGATAGAAGAGAGTCGAGGACCTCGTCACCAGTACTGCAAGCTGCTGCTGGTGCTATTGAACGCGTCTCGTCATCTGCATCAATCAGCAGAACCGACTCACCCAAGTTTTCTTTCAGTAAGAAGCTGGGCCGCGATGGTTCCACGTCATCTGAATCTATCAACTCGGTAAGCGGACGAGCCGTGGATTCACCGTCATTGAGTGATAGTGGATCACGGGCAAGTACAATGAGTGCTTCCACTCAGTCACATCGATCTACTGATGTCTCTCCCAGCAAAGACGTTGCTGCCAGTGTAGTGTGTGAATCAGCTGCTATGAATGCGGTGACCGAGAATGGTGGCGCTGCTCCTGAAGTCCAACGTGGCTCCGGCGACACTCCCGGCACTGTTGTTGCCAATGGCATTCAGGACGCTCACGTGGCACCAGCACCCACCTTCAATAGGGAGTCTTGGGCTCATGCAGTGGTCGATGAGTGCTGTGATATCAGTGATGATAACAGCGATGATCTGCCATCAACAGTGTCCAGTACTACACCACCACCATCATCATCAGGGCATGCACCGGGAGCAATCGCCCAAGACAACGAGTCTTGTAGCGTAGTGGAGTCATCTACACGTCAATCACCACCAACACCGGTGGATACAACACCGGCACCGTCGGCTGTGCCAGAGCAGCAAAGTGCCATTGCTAGCTCCAGTGTATGTAGTGTAGCCGCTGCTCCTTACACTGAAGCCAGTGCTACGTCCACACTACCCATTGCTGTGGACACCACTGATGGTCCTGGCAAGACGGATCCTGAATGTTCACCCACGGTCAGTAGCAGTGAGGTTGCAAGTAGCAGTGCTGACGCAGCTGCTTCTCCTTGCTCTAGCTTGAATGCCGATGACCATGGCGAACTGTCTACTGCTTTGCCAGCAGCAGCAGCAGCAGTGTCTGGATGTGCATCTACTGGTGGTGTATCCGCCACCTCTAGTCCCGCCACCGCCACAGCTGCAGAGAGTACGGCAGCAGTAGCTGTCAACACCGCGTCTTCTGTTAGTCGTGACTCACCCACTGCCGCCCTGCCCGCCGCAGCGACTGTGTCGGCACAAGATACGCTACTCGACAGGCCGTCTGTAAGCGTTGGTGAGCCTACCTCTCCGCCTGCATCACCCACCATGACAACACCGCCAGTCCAAGAGAGCCCTGACAGGCAACCAGTCAAGGAGCGACATACTATCGTTGAGGATGACGTGCCTTTCCCCGAAGTCGAACGTCCTCCCAGTCCGGCAGTCAAGCGAGTGACCAAGAAGAAACGCTCGAAGAAGAAGGCACTCTCCGGTCCCAAAGAAGGTGGTTCCTCAATTCCATCCAGTCCGAAGAAGAAAACCAAAGTCTCTGCAACTGCGTCAACTACTGCAGAAGCTACAATGGCATCAGCGGCAGGGAAACCAGCAGAAACGCCAACAGCAACCTCAGCTCCAGCAGCATCAGAAGCAACTGCAGAGGCAGTTATGGTAACAGCAGCAACAGCAAAAACACCAGCAGCAGTCACACTTAACACACAGGTGGGTCCAGCAGCAGTAGCAGAACCAGCACCAGAGCCATTACCGGCAACAGTAGTAGCAGAGGCACAGTCTGAAGTGGAACAAAGTGCAACTGAGACATCAACAGCAGTGGCCACCACCACCAAACCCAGTGCTGGTGCAATGAAACCGTCTTCTCCAGCTCCAGAAAGAGGAAATGAAAAAGGTCAGTCTAAAGGGACGGCACAGAATGACTCAAACTCCTCACTGCCATCCCAGTCTTCAACATCGGCAGATGGCAAAGTTCAGTGTGCTATGGTGGAACCTGCTATTGAGCCAAATAACACAATGCAGTTACAGCAGCTACAGCAGCAGCAGCCAGTAAGTAATACGAGTGTGTCAAGTGCCAATGCCGGTCAGCGACGCTCTCCTAAGGCAGCAAGTGATGAAGCAGCCAGTCCAGTACTCATGGATCAGCCGCTCCCATCAGCTGCTTCTCTGGCTAATCGTGTAGACACCATCACAACTAGTGCTGCTGTACACGCCGACAAAGTGCAGCCTCCGGTGACACCAGCACCTGCAAGCCCGCCGATTGTAACATCCTCAGCAGCAGCAACACCAGCTGCAATAGCACAGACTCCACCTACAGCTCAACATGTGGCCTCAACTTCTGAGCAACCAACAAGAGAAGCCTCTCCCAATGTTGCTATTCCCAAGGATATTCCCAAGGATCAAGTTGCATCTACCCCGTCTGATGTGAAGCATCACCACGACCAGCAACAACAGCAAGCGACCAAATCTCGACAACAGCAGGGTAAAGCACAGCTACAACAAACAAAGCCACAGGCACGGGTAGATAAAGCAGTCAAGTCCTCTCAGAGTGACATAGCTACTGCTAAAGTGAGTAGGTCGCAGTCAGTCACTGCTTCTCGTGGGTCTAGATCAAAGAAGCCTGTCACCACACGCTCAACGTCATTCATGGAAATCACGGTCGATGATGATGCTGACACTGATGTGGTTGTGTCGCGCAGCACTGGTGCTCGCCGGGCCAACAAGAAGCGTAAAGTATCTGTTGATATCACCTTTGACGAAGACGCCAGCGTAGGAACTCAGCTGCCTTCATTGCGTCCTAGGCCGTCATCTGTGTCAGCGCCGGTGTCAGGGTCTGCGTCACCCGTACCGTCATTGGACCATTCACTAGAGTTTACCCGCAGTAGTGAAGCGAGCCCAATCAACGCTCAGCCACTATCGTTCACCAGTAGAACCAACAGTGACGAACCAACTCGGCAAGTTGTAGCCACCTCCTCTCCTCCTGTGCCTGGCGCCGCCTCTTTAACTAATGCTGCTCCTGTTGTTACCCCTGCTGTTACTCCTGTTGTTATTCCTGCTGTTACTCCTGTTGTTGCTGCACAAACCAACTCTGTAGCTGCTCCAGCTGTCACCGATTCCTCTATACCTACCACTACTACTACTACTACTATTCCAACTACCGGTAATGCCTACAGCAACTCAGCTGCATTCAATTATTCCACCAGTGCTCCAACAAGTCATACTGCCACCAGCATGCCGACGCAGCATATCACCACCAGTGCCAACGCTACCACGTCCAAACCGGCTCTGCAGTTCCTCTCCAAGCACAGCCAGTCGGCCAAGTCGTTCATCCGCAACATGTCCACTGAAGTCTCCCAGCGTCTGGCCACGCCCAGCAATCGCCCTGCAGTGCAAGCTCTACCGGCAAATCCCCGCGAGCCTGTTGCGTCTCCTCCCAGAGAAACATCACCCCCGCCAGTGGTAGAGACGCAGCGCCTGCCGTTCGTAGTGGATCTTTGTGAGGAACTGGCACTAACCAAACGAAAGCTAACTTTGGATGCACTTTGCAACAAGACTACGTTGACACGCTGCCTTGTCAAGCTGTACACACGCTTCAGAGAGCTGTCCGTAGACTTTGCACGATTCTGCGGCCGTGAAGATGACATGGTGGATGTACAGTTGAGCTTTGCACAGCTCTGTGCCCAGTCCATGAGTCAGGAAGAGCTTTCTGCCACTACTCCGCTGTTCACGCTCTTTGCTGAAGTGGCCGTCAACTCATCCGGCCTCGTGTCGGAAGATGAACAACTGGCTGCGCAGAGTGCTGTGAGTACGGACAGCCACAATGTTGACTGTGAGTCTGCTGTAAAGCTGCTTTGGGAGGTCCAGCCATTCTTGGAGCTGAACAAACTGAAACCATTGCTACATCGCCGGGGTTGGAGTCATCATCACCTGTCCTGGCATTTCCTGGTCAAGGACAACTTGCTGGACAGTTACGTGGAGGAGATCAAGTCCTATCTGCGGCACAACAACTCGCGTGCGGTCGTGTCGGCGCTGGACAGCATAGCGGTAAGCTGCGCGCAGAGTCTCCTGCCCTGTATCTCACACTTGTACAGTATCCATGGGCAGCCCGTTGTCAGTGCATGTGTGCAGCTCTGCGCGTACGTATCGCCATGGGAAGTGGCTGCACTAACGTGTCCCGCTGCATTCTTTTCTCAGTCTGCCGGTGACATTGCAACTGTGGGCTGCTGCGGACGCTGCCGCAATCAGCCCAACGAGTGGCCGCATCTGCTGCACTACCTCAACGCATTGCAGGACAAGGATGTTGACTTGTTCAATAAGCACGTGCTGCATGATCATGCCCTCCTGCTGCTCTGGCTGGAAGCAGCGCTGCAGCAGCGACCTGACGACAGCAAGCTGTTTGTTGAGTATGAACATGTATCAAGCAGCAGCAGCAAGAGCCCCAGCAGTGAGTTCAATGCTCTTCCTGGATCTCACCTGCTGCAGTTCCCATGCTCACCAACACTGTCGCAGGTCATCAGCACTCTTGTGGAGCTGTCGTCAGCACATTGTTTGAAAAGAGCGTTGGCTATGTGCAAGCAACATGGCTACTGGCTCGGTGTGCTGCATCTGCTGGTGGTTACGCAACAGCAAGAGTGTGCCATCCGTCTGCTGGTTCAGTTGGATGACGACCGTCTGCTCGGCGAGCAGCAACGCTGGCCCAAATGTCCTGCTGGTAAGGACGAATGGCAGCTGGTCATGAACGTCTTCTCTGCATCGCCACTGCACTCAACGTTTCCACACTCACTGTCCTGGACTGGCTTGATTGGCAAGATGGTATCGGAGTGTGGCTCCACTGCGGCCATGACCGTGTTGCAGAGTATCCCAGCTGGAGCTGATCGCATCGATCCACGTCATCTTGCTGTTGTTCTGGCTTCCAGTAAGCTAGAAGTGCAGCAGCAGTCGCTTGGTCAGTCCGTGCTGGAGAAGGTCGACATGCACCTGTGGTCCATGCACTCCGGCGCTCTGGCACCAGCACTGCAATGTGAAGCTGCTACTGAACTCACTCAAGTGCTGGCATCGCGCTGTGACACTGACGGTGAGCAGCCGCGCGCTGCTGTCAGATCTCCGTCGCAGCCTAGACTGCGTACACCGGGCCTGGGCGATACGCTGGAGCTGAAACAGACCCTGCGCTGGCTGGAGTCTGCGTCGACACACTGGGGAGTATCCACGTCCCTGGTGAACAGCGACTGTCCGTGTTGTTCATTGCCACTTAGTGAGAACATGGCGGACATGTCACAGCCGCTCAGTGTGTTTGCCTGCGGGCACGGCTTCCATCGCCACTGTATCAGTGAGGATGCATGCGTGCTGTGCTACGGCTTGGTGACCGCTCCCACTGCATCATCACTACCATCAGCTACATCTTTGCCTTCTCCGTTCTTCCGTCCGGGGCATTAGCACAATTGTCGCTTCCCACTTATCCTTGTCATTGTCGCTGTTTGTTTCATTTATTTCTTATCTCTAGACATTAGCTCCCCCCCCCCCCCCCCCCCCCCCCCCTGATCCTGGTCCCTTGATTTCTACGCATAGCCTTAGAATCGTCCACATGTTTTTGCGAAATGCCTCAGTAACGTTATATCTGCGTATGGAGTAGTGTTGTCAAGCTCTTGAGGAGTGTATCACTTGCTTACTTATTTTGCTGAGTTTATTTTCCTGAGAGAGAGAGAGTGTGTGTATGTCTCTGCATGAAACACATAACTATCTTTCCTTTACTTCTATTGGGTTATTTTACCTGAATCTTTTTCCACTGAGGTTTTTTATACCAATTATAACCCGGGCAATTTTATTGTCTCTTCCCGCACGTACGTGTATATCATGTGTGATATAGGCAAAGAGTTGTTTTTAGTTTTCAGCCTTGAAAGATCCGTGACACTGACTAGGAGTTTAACATTATTTTGTGGTGCATCGAGTACGTCATGGCATATGACAAGCCCAGTCGACCGAACTGATAATGTATGTGTGTGTGTGTCTGTGTGTGTCTGTCTGTGTGTGTGTGTGTGTGTGTCTGTCTGTGTGTGTGTGTCTGTCTGTGTGTGTGTGTGTGTGTGTGTGTGTGTGTGTGTGTGTGTGTGTGTGTGTGTGTGTGTGTGTGTATGTCTGTCTGTTGGTTTGTGAATATACAAGTACAGTCGAATGTCACTTATCCGACCACTTCGGGAATCAGGCATGTTGGATAACTGATATCATTTTTTATGTGCATATATGGCTGGATTTCACTGATTTATGTACACAATACCCAAATATATTCATGCCTATTCATGAATTGCTCCATGTACACATACATGTTAGCATACTTGACCACATCTACTTCAAGTAAATGCATATTACACCATAATTATACAAACCAAAAAAAAGAATTTTACTGTTGAGAGTCATAAAATTACGACTCCCGGGCTTGTTGGATAACTGACGTGCTCGGATAACTGGCGACCGGACAAGTGACATTCGACTGTACATGCCCGTGTGTGTGAGGGGGGGGGGGGGGGGGGGTCAGTCTGTGTGTCTGCTGTCACGAGTATGTCTTGCTATTTGTGGATGTGTATGTGAGTGTATGTGTGTGTGTGTGTGTGCGTGTGTGTATGTGTGTGTCGTGGTTGCAAAACGCTTCAGCAAGATCTGCTGAATTAGCTGTTTTGGAGCTATTGCCCCATCTTCAGGTGCAATCCTTGAAACTTGGTGTTGAACTGCGCAATCCAAATTGTACACCTACTTGTACTGAGCTTGGTTATCATGAGTCGTGACCGTTGATAATGGGCTGTCCAAGATGAGTGCACCTCATGACTTGTTTATTGGTGTGGGGAAACAGTGCAGTCCTGGTGTTGGTTGCATGTTGGCACATACCGGTAACCATGGTAACAATGTGTGCCAGTACAGTACTGTCGGGCGCTGAAGAAAGGAGCTCCGAAGAACGACCAGGCTAGGATTTCACCAATCACATCATACGGATATATACACGATAACTCAACTGTGCATAGACTGCAGTACGTACTGTAAAACCGGAATGTTAAACGACTAAAAAGTTTAACGTTTTTGTAATTTGGGCATGATAACGTGCAGAAAGTTTAACGATGGCTACCTGGCCACCCAGAACATTCATCGATGCATGCGAATCTATACACAGACATCTCGAACCTGGTTCGAGATAACGTTTCTTCAAATAACGAAAAAATTGGACCCTAAAGCAATCCCTAGCAATAGTGATTTGTTGCTGCAGCATCACATGCACTATAGACACGTGAGGAGCCGTGAAGACTTGGAATGGTTGGGGGTGGGGTGGGGATCAACTATCCTGTGATACCTGTGCTGCATCCCTGTACAGAACATCATTTTAAAGCCCGACAATGCTAGCCACACTTTCATTTGTATTGCTTTCTCCAGACTGAGATAAAGAAGTTGTATGACACTTCAAAGTGAAATTTAGTAGCCGTAGAGAAACGGCAAAGGCCAAGACAAAAGAACTACTAGTAGAGAATAAATAAGCATGGAATGTACATTTGTATCTCTTGCCATCCACAGGTAAATTTGCATCGATGTTTAATTTAAAAAAAATAGTGACCGATACGGCTGGTCTTCTTTTTACATCTGAGTAATGACTGCATCATTGCACAGTTATTGACATAGTGCTACATTAGATTAAAAAAGAAAATATTCCGAAGTCTTGACATGTATTCTAACAATAAGTAACCAACAACATGATTATTTTGTTATGTATTAAAGCACGTATTAGCGGGTATTCAGTTGATTTTAAGACTGGTTGATCTGTTTGCCTTGAGCTCTTTGTAAAAAACCAAAATCATAGCAAATTTTGCAAAACATGTCAGACTACGAAATTCACAGGGGTTGAGAGGTAACAAAAAAACTGAGGTGCCAGATGTGCCTAGTCCCGATAGCCGTATTGGTCCCAAAAGTCGCACCGCTCAGACTCGTAGTCAACATCCAGGAACTCCTGTCCAACACATACGCAGACAGGCAAGTATTCCCATACACAAACATCCACACACACACACACACACACACACACACACACACACACACACACACACACACACACACACACACACACACACACAAACACACACACACACACACACACACACACACACACACAAACACACACATGCACACACGCACGCACACACATACACGCACACGCACACACACGCACACGCACACACACACACACACGCACACACACACACACACACACACACACACAAACACGCACACACACACAAACACACACACCGTGACACACACACACACACACACACACATACAGTCGACTTCACTTGTAACCGGAACTCGCATATAGCGAATTTCGTGATATAGCGAGCCATTGTCCTTGTCCTTGTTTGAACCCATACAAAATTGACCCTATAAACGAACAGTTTTCGTTTATAAATTCGGAACGACGCTTCACGCAGCTTCATTATAGCAACTTGTATTGTGGCAACACTGGCCAACACTCAGTTTTCGTTTATAACGAACCAAATTTTGTAGAACCGCATGTAAGCCAAGTGCACTCATACTGTCATGGGCCACTTGTCAGTCATGACTTGCTGCTTGTATGGTGTGAGTGCATTTCTGTTATAATGAACTTCGGCTACAAAGAGCAAATTCTCCTGCACAATGGTGTGCATTACGTCAGGAATCGATTGTATACACATACCGGTACACATGTACACAATTGATGTTGTACATGTACTGGTGAAACCTTGGCCAAGTGATCACCTAGCTCAGTCTTATTAGCAACCACTATTCACCAGTGCACCATGGTTTCATTTCAGAGACCACCAGCAGTCACAGACCAGGATTGACCAACCAGTTTCCTGGGCGGTCATCGAAACTAGGCGAGTCTCGCTGTTACGATCGTCTACATGAGCCCCACCCATGTCACATGCAGCGCCCATGTCATGTGATGCGTGGTACAAGCAACAGCAGCCATGCTGCACTGCGCAAGGTGCTCACCGTGAATGCGTTGGCCGTGATATTGATAGTCCCCATCCAGCCATTGTCCTTGGACACCGAGTGATACTCTTGCCAAATGAAGTCCTGCAGCAGGACACAGTCCAAGTAACCATGGCAACAACACCAAGCAGGAAGGCAGCCATCTTACCAAGATCTCGCCGGTAAGTTTTCATACATACATGTATGATGGCAGGTAAGCCAGAGATGAGGTTCCTGAAGAGGAAAGAGCAATGCTGCCAGGTAATGTCCCACTTCCAAAAGTACTATGTCCAGCCTTCTCCGTGGAACACTAGCGTCACAATGATAATGGAGCATGAGTTTGCGAGTTTCTACAGTGTGGACACAGGGGAGTCGGAAGGTATTCTACAGGTACGACCCTGAAAAGGCGGGTGAAAATCATAGTAGTAGGAAACTTGGGACCAAATAGCCCATATTTCATTGCTCCAGAAATCACAGGATAAGATTATTGGTGCGGCTATGGCCGCACCTGCCGCACTGGTTCCGACGCCCCCAGAACAAGACAATCGGGTATACCATTGCCGCAACGTGTCAGAGATATCCTCTGCAACAGGGCACCATGCGGCACAGCCATCCACTGTCATCCTTTTGCCGCGGCAACAGTTGCGCGGACCGCAGAAATAGATGGGCAGTTGTTGACCTGTCCAGCCTGTGAACAAGTAGGTCTATCGGTTTTTTTTAAATTTAAAAATCATGAGATAGATGCTCATAACTTACTGGAACAGTATGAGGTGAGTTTGGGTTGCCTGTGTGTGCAAAGTTGGTCCACAGCTGAATTAGTTTGTTGGACATGACTAGCTCCTCTGGGGTGTAGTGCTGGCCGATGGAGGAGATGTTTGGTTGAAAGATGAAGACAAGTTCAGAGCCATGGCCTAGAAGAGCGGTTGCAACAGCAAAAGAAATACCAACAAACAAGGCTAGTTTCCCAACAGGCTGATAATCACAAGTAGGTGTGATCACAGTCATCATCGGCTAACATCACTTGTTGACTATCAGTGTACATCTTCACATCCCCAGGCAATTATAGTACAGCCCCCGGTGGCCTTAACTTACTCTAGTCACGACACCAGCCATGCTACATACAATGGGGATACCGTTGTATCCACTCAAACAAAGTAGAAATATGTGAACCAAGATGTACTCGAGGTAAAACTTTGATGGAAGTGCTGTATTAGCTGAGTAGAATGAAGTCCAGGCGCAGTAACAACATCATTGTGGCTATACATGGTGGACATACGCCTGTCACTGTGGATGTCTTAATGCATGGTTCGTGGCCGCATGATGATGCCCGGAACCAAGGCAATCAGTTCCCCAATTTCGTCACCAGAGCAGTCACTATCTTGCTACTCAGCGTGGGCTGACACTATGCATGTAGGGTCTAGCTAGGGTGCTGTACTCCGCAATGTGCATCCAAGCTATCTGGACTCAACATGCCTGCTGCCAGCCCTGCACTGTCAGCAACCGGCACATTGATTGTTGCATATCACCAATAGGCCGCAGTAACATTACCTGGCTCCCAACCATGCCGCCATGAATCCAGTCGGCCTACACGCTGGTAGTAAGTGCAAGTGCTGTCCCCGCAGGCACAGGCACACGGCTATCCTCCAATCGTGCTCTCTTCAGGCAAATGCCATCTGTCCTCTTGCTAACCCCAGTTACTAGTCTAATGACTAAACAAAGGTGCACATGTCGAATGCGGGGGAGTGATGGAGGAGACAATCACATGGCTACTAGTGACTTACAGACACGGTGCATGCAGTAGGACAGCACCGGACCCCAGCCGTCAAACGACATGCTGTGATTGAAGATGTAGCGGTAGACCGGCTGCGAGCGTTCCGGTGAGCTCACCACCGACCGTGTAGTGTTGCGCGTCGGACACCGGAACACGTAGTCAGTACCCAGAACCTGAATCATGATGCGGCGCCAGTGAAGAATCACAACACATTGCATGTGTAGTTTCAAACACTATCTGTATTGGTCAGTGGTGAGAGAAAAGAGTTGAATGTTTGGCACAACCAATGAGAAGTGATCACCACTACATTTGACAACTGCATGAGGTTCATATTGTCTCAGCAAGGATTCGCTCAGCAGCACAAGTACCTGGGAGTCACAGTTTCAAGTGCAAAGGCAGACAAAGAAGGCCTTTGGTATTTGAAACTGTGTTTACAACTTGTAGACTTCCCAAGCTGCAGGAGCATTGTTCATTTCTTTCCAATGCAAATTGTGTATTCCTATACTGAGGCTTCCATGGGATAGATATGCATTTATCATCTAGATCCTAGACCACACATATGTGCCGAGCAGACAGAACTGCAAACTAGACACATATTTACAAGCATTGGAGGCCGGTACAACAACTGAGCCGGACCATGCTGCAGTGTGTACAGAAGAGCCTCCCTTAGGCGACACTTCTCAACAATTGGACACACCTGCATTCAGGACACATAATTGTATTGTCGGCCTGCAGCCCCAAATACTCTCAATCAAACTGCTCATGATGTACTCTCAATATGATACAATCCTCTACACCAGACATGTATGTGGGTCGGTGATCTCTGATGTCTGTAATTGAGGGATTCCGGCATTGTTTCTAAAATGTACTTGGTAGTGTTTAAGATATCGCTCGATCCAGTGCATGGTTGCACTGCCGGTGTGAGGTGTGTGAAAGACTTACCGCAATGTGATCTCTTGTGTCTCCACTGCCCGTGTCCTTGTAGACATACATCTTCTGAACATCACTGGCATGTCTACCAAACTTCACATCCATTGCTAGGTTGTACTCGGCTTTCTACGCCACACAAGGAGCAAAGCAACAGCACAGCGGGCATGGTCAGCCACATGGCAAAGCGAAATAGTCACTTGACCATGCATGGCATTGAAATACACACAGAATTTAGGCACAGCATTTGTAAAACTGACTGGTGCCGCATGATGTCTCTGCAGATGGCGAGGACAGCCATGGTGGGGGGACAGCCATGGTGGGGGGACAGCAACGGTTTCATACCAAGCACTACTAGGCCAGGGTTCAGTCTGCCACATAGCCTGGCTTTCACACAAGATAGGAGAAAGGAGAGAGAGAGGGGGGGGGGGGGGGAGAGCAAAAAGGAGAGAACACAATTTTGCCAGCGAGCAGCACTGCAGGTGAATTGCCCGTGGCTAACAATAACTGCATGTCTTACTGGAATTTTCTTGACAGGTGACACACCATATATGTACATGACGCACTCCTCACTCACTGTACCCTGTAGTACATAGGAGAACATTGAAAATACAGTGAAAATACAGTGAAAATACAGTGAAGCAACAAACTAGACAAACTGGGGAAAGGATGCACATCCCCTACTACAGACACACCAATGTCACATTTAAGGCTTCACCGATCCGCATTTAGGTCGAGGCTTTCATACCAAGAAAATACTACAAGACTTTGAAGACATGACAATACAAGGAATCAGCAGGATTCTTCCACGAACTCCGTGCCACTCAAAGCCTCTGGGACCTTACAATGATTATTGGTATATCAGCAATGTTGCCTTTCTGGAACGAAAACAGCGGCTCCTCCACCACCTAGCGGCATACCAGAGCAAAACAGCACACAACAATGAAGCTAGCCATTGCAACAAACACGAACCATGACAAATACCAGTATAGGTCTTGCCAATTCTCCAGGGAACCTTCCACCGTGGTGCATACTGGTATTGCAAATATTATCTTGATTCCTGACCAATAAGGCTCAATCGCCAAAACCGTATTTGTAATTGAGACTCTGCTAAGGTTAGAAAAGCTTAGTTTTGGTCTGATTTTTTTACAAAAATGCTCCTGTGCCAATATCTTTGTGACTGGCGTACATAGCCTAGCCTGTTTCCTATTCTACTGTTAGTACCTAGGGAAGGGTTGAACAGTTGCGGCTTGCCTGATCACACAGGTGTGCTAAGATAGCAATAGTGCCAGCATACCTCATCTCCATCAATTGTTGGGGTCCATGGGATGAAGATCTCCAGCAAGCTGCGAAATGACAGTACAGGTGTAGATGTAAGAGTACATTAGGACGGTACACATGTACAATGGAAAATATCTCCGCACAGATGAGTTCAGAATTGAATCAAGTTTCTACAAGCACTGCAACTGTGGGGGAAATTCATACTTGCTCACTTTGTCAGGTCCACTAAGTGCTTGGAGGCTTCAGCTTGCGCTTCCATGATGAAACGAGTAGGCTGCATAAAGGAGAGAAGATGAAGAGAAGATCATGGCCAATTGTACCTTTCCGTTTGTCAAATACGACATTGTTACAGTCATATAGCAGATAAGGGGTCGTCCGTAATTTTCGAAAAATATAAAAATCCGTCCTCATGCAAAAAGGGGGTGGGTGGTCAAGAGCGCTGGCGGAATTTGATTTTTTGATTTTTTGTGTGTACATATGCAGTATACCAGGTAGTGTAGGATCGATTGTTGCAAACGCTGCACTCCTTTGGATGTGCAGTGTACTATCCGTACCCGGTGCGTGTACTGTTGTACCTTGCGGTCAGTGTCGCGATGAGCTGCATGCAGTCTCAGACTGTACCAGTACTCGTAGTCTACACTTGTAGTCATGTACGGCTGAATAATAGGTGTCGGCTGACTGAAAAAAATCAAAAAATAGTAGGGAAAAATGGGGGGTGGGGGGGGGTGGGTCAGAGAAAATTTTGCACAAGGACGGATTTTTATATTTTTCGAAAATTACAGACGACCCCTTAGGCAAGAATTGAGTCAACAGAACTCCATACACCTGGACTACTCAATTCCTGGACAGCTAGCTGTTCCAGCCTTGTTAGGTGTCATCAGCGGAGCTCGGGGTGACTGGCCAAACCGATTGCAATGAAGTCTTGTGAACAAAAAGAGCATTCTTTAACCGCAAGTCTCAAAAGCATCAAAGTCAGAATGTTCTAACTGCGAGAAACACAGCGAGCTTTGCACGAGGGCAGATGACTGACACTAATCAGAAGGAGTGCTCGTCTAATTCGAGGGAAGTGCAACACTCAATCTTGTATATCTAGACTATGATGCTGAAAGTCAAAAAGGTGTTAAATACTGTTGAATCTACGTTGAGGTACAAAGGAGTCAATATACTGAAAAAATCATCTTTTTTGTTGGTAGGCTGCCACAAATGCCACAAATTATGAGTGCAAGAATTATTCATTTTGTCTGAAATGTGAATTATGCCAAGATTGACTGACTTTCGCCAGCACACACTGAGCAAAGAGTCACAGTGGTGTGTAGTTAGCTGGGTAGTGAAACAGGAATTTGTGTTCCCAGCAAGTTGTAGCAAAGAGCAGGTCAAGTACAAAATGTAATCATCATGCATGCACATGTACCTTGTACTGCCAGCACTGTGGGTCATCAGCAGCACAGCCTGTCAGAACAAATCGGGGACAAGTCAAGAACAGTTACAATTAGCCAGGCCAAGATAGAGACTATGCTCTCGTTCGAACGTGTGATGCATTCCTCTTCTCATAGCCTACGGTGCGTTACAGCTGTAATGTGACCCAAGAGGAGATACATGTACACATGGATGCACGGTACGTGCTGGGTCATTTGATGCCGTATATAGACATGATGTTGTAACGATGAGGTATGTTGGGACGATGGGACCATGTGACCATGTGACCATGTGCTGTTACTGGCAACACATGTACATTATTCTGCCTTCAAATAGCCATGTGTGCTCTCTGTATGGATCAGAGTAACATGTGAATGTACAAGACTACCCTCTCATCTATTGTACACAGGCTATGACTGTACAGTCAGACCTCGCTTAATTTACCGCACACATCCGTTTTCCACAAAAATATCCGGATAGGCGAGGGAACCGGATAACTGAACACACATACTGTATGTATGCATGCCATATGCTGTAAATCGGTAACCAACGATTTTCTTCCGGATGGCGAGGGATCCGGATAAAAGAGGACCGGATAAGCGAGGTCTGACTGTACACATCTTACCAAGCGTCTTGAAGAAGATCGCAGCCATCCTCTCCGCATCTTCCTTGCTTCTCATGTATATGCCAAAGGGCTCGCTCTCCAGGATGGCCTTGTGAAAGAGACCTGCTGACCTGGCGGATGCTAGATGAGTGGCTACCGACATGGCCCCGGCACTCTGGCCGAACAATGTCACCGAATTCGGATCACCGTCAAAGAAGGCAATGTTTTCCTTCACCCACTCCATTGCCTTGCGTTGATCCTGGAAGGACGAGTGGAAGCCACCGGCGTACAGTCAGTCGTGTACACAGTCAGCATACATAGATACGTGTACTGAAGTCTACACATCCATGAGTGACTGTCGCTGCTCATGCATGTACATCTACAGCGATCAATACCCGGAAAGGGGAGAGGGGGGGGGGGGGGGACTTTCTTACAGATGTTGGAACGGTTGCATGATTGCAGCTGAGTGATCATAGGGCAGCACCTGAAACTTATGTTCACGTCAGTCACAATATTCAGCCCAGTATTTGTGTTCATTATGTGTGACTACAAGTATACTGCGCCGCCTAGGCAAAAACTGCTACTGTACCCGGGGAAAACCGGGGACTGACGTGGACCTGTATGGGCTAACAGCCCAACACTAGTAGCTAAATTACTTAGAGGAGGAAGACGTCATCATTATCTGTGAGGACGACTTCCCACATTGCTTGTGAATAACAGTTCACTGACATGCACCAACCCGGGCAGTAAGGCAGTCAGTGCAGCAGTCTCACACTACTACTGAGCAGTGAGTGGTCTCCACCATCTGGCATAGCATCAATCACGTATATAGACTTCACACGATAAGCAACCCTCTACACAGCTCCATTCAGCTTACCATGAGACCAAAGTTTCCCCGGAGGCCACCAGAGCTTGACGTCAAGAAGCCAAGAGCGCCAAGTCGATAGTTGATGGACACCACAATGACATTGGAGGAGTTGGCGATGTGTTGCCCGTCATATAGCGGACCTCCGCCAAAGCCCTGCAAACAAAACGGACACAAGCAGACTAAGGTGCTCAGTGAGCTACACAATCTCTATACATTGTCATGTGTAAACAATACTCACAAACAATACAAAATGACATGGCATGAACTAACTTAGCATTGCTTATGATCTATGTGTGCATGTACTAAGTCAGTTGCACTTCATCCTATTGCCTTACTCTTCTGAAGTTTCCACCGTGGATCCAGAACATGACTGGATGACCTGCCTGTAAGCAGAAAACACATAGGAAAGTGATAATGTAGCATACTGTGTTGGGCTGTGTTAGCCGCTATCAGTCACTCTGACTGTACTGATAATGAGATCACGGGGACTACACGGTTCTAGGAATACATGTACATGTAGTTACACAGCACATACTGTCTCCCGGTGTCTTTCCACAAAGTGTTCATTGTCTTGCGTGCATGCGCGACTTTAACATTAGCGACTTTAACATTAGCGACTTTAGCATGTACAGGCTATAGTCGTTGGTCTTGTGCTTATAAAACACTACTGGTGTTACAAAGCATGGAGGGCACTGCCGCCGACACTGAACTTGATCTACAATGTAATCACAAGCTTACTATTGTTTCAAGTGTTTTGTTTTCCATCTGCTGTTAGGATGCACATATTCACACTACTATAAACATACAAAATTTCAGCAGCTGTTCAATTTTGGCTATTCGGCACCGATCCAAAACGCCGGAATTAAAACGATGAAATTACCGAAATGAATCGCTGCCGAAATGTCGAAAATCGTGAAATGCCGAAATTTTGTATATTTGCAGTATTGTACAGTAGTCTATACCCAGCATCCCAAACCCTGCATGACTCTATGCATCAAGCATGCATGCACTACATAGCTCTACTTACTGAGCTCCGCGGCTTGGCCACCGGCACAAAGATGTTCAGAAACAGACAGTTCTCGCTGGTCTTTGGCGGGCAGCCGAGTGCAGGGATGTGCTGTGAGCAGTTCTGGACACACAGCATGCCAATGTGGAGCACAGATAAACACATACCATCGTCATCACACTTCCATAGTCAGTGACTCGCCACTTCAGGGTCGTTGGAGATGCTACCATGAGTCACTATGGTATGGACCATACCAATTTTCATTGCTGGTACTTTTTCCTGCCAGTACCCCCCCCCCCCCCCTCCATCCCTGTTTCTGCACACAACTATCCCATACGGGGTGAATGTTCCTCGTTGTGCATGTAAGTTGATGTAACGTTACATAATACTGAAGGTTGAAGCTCACCGCCTGTGGACATCCTGGACCATCTTTCAATGTGTGCAGGATGAGACTTGGTCCCCATGCTAACGGTGGCCTACATAACATTGTACAATATTGCACAGAACACATTGAAACCACGTCATTCACTAACACTATGAAATCAACGAAAGTAGACATAATATCACTCGGCACCATGATAGTAATAATTATCATGTTGACATTACTATGACCTATCCACTACAACCTGTGTTCAATCATGAGTCACTCTTGACTGGTTTTCGAAGTATCTAGATTAGAGAAAAGGAAATTTTGATATCCTTTCTTGAAGGAACTAACAATAGCCACTAAAAACCGGAATAACCCAGCGCCAGATGCAGCACCTAACCGTAAGGTTGCAGGATACGCCTCACACCCACTGAAACGGCAAGTGCCGAAGCCCCTATTAACCGCAGACTAGGAATACAGAGTTAGGGACCCGGACTAACTACAGCAGAATCGCCGGAAGCAGTTTTTGACTGGTCCGGTAGTATCCTAGCCTTTTATACAGTTTGTGTGTGATATGGTGGGTACACATGCCCTGGACAGTAGGAACACGTATTGGTGACCAGTCCGGTTGGTCCGGTGATAACCTGACCAACCGGGCCAGTTCCAGCGGGCCTGTGCAGCAACGGCTGGAAACAAGTTTACACTGTGACTATGGACTATAGGTCTAGCCTCACCCAGGTGGTTTGAAGCGTCGCTCTCCGTCTGGTGATCTGGCGTATGGAACACCTCGAAACACCTGAACATGCATGCACACACACACATACACACACGTGCACACACACGTGCACACACACACACACACACACACACACACAGGGGAGGTCGTCTGACCATGGAAGAGTAACTTGAAAAATGGGCATGCTATGTAAGCAAGTCTGTCTGTGCATAGTAAAAGTACCAGTCACATCAACAAGTGCTCCGCTCCGCTGTACATGCATGGTTAGTATGCTGCTGCAAGATCTGTGCTGAGTACGGAGGTTTTTCAAAAGCGTCAACAGAATCAGGAGATATCCTACATAATAGGAAGAGTGGGCACCTCAGCATAGTCGTAATGACAGCTATATTGTGTTGTAAAAGAAGAAGCCTTGAGCGGGATTTGAATCCAGCACCCCTGTCTTTCCGAGGCAGTCCCCTACCGATTTGGCTACCGGTGATCTCACACACTCGTTACTCCTTCTTGCTACAATGGTGCAATGAGAGTAATCAGGGTAACTACACATGGACTGTACACCATGGTCCACTGTACTTACCTTACATGACCCTGTGTTGCTTCCCAGGATCTACAGGACATATACGCGGCATACATGTACAGAACACGCACATACACACATAGACACATACACACATAGACAGTTGTCTAAAGTCCTTAGGCTACATGTATGCATATACACACATACATGTACATACACACATACACACATACATGTACATACACACATACATTAAAGGGGAAGTTAAGGCAAAAATTAAAATTTCACCAGTTGTAGTCTTCGGGGTGCTGAGTCGAATGGTCGTGGTCCGAGGAAGCTGAGACGCTCCCTTCCTACTTGAATCCCAATCGAACTCGCGCACTTCCACCGAAACTGGGTGACTGCGCCCTACTAGATGGGGATTTGTATGCAAAATGTCACTAAAAGCGCCATTTCGTTCTTATAAAAGCACGGATGACCGCGATTGGCCCATATGTTGTAGTTTTTTGGACGCTGAGTCGAATGGTTTTGGTCCGAAAAGGCTGCGATGCAGCGTTCCTCCTTTATTCCCAATCGAACATGGTTGAACAAGCGGTCACGTGCTCCTGGGTGCCCAAATCACCTGGTCACCACGCCAGCAGGCGACAACTTTCACACCAAGGTTCAACTCGAGTGACAGGACTGCACCTAAAAAAGGTCAAACAGGCTAGTAAGTTGTACCCTGTAGGCACGGTGACCAGGTGACTGGTGTACGCAGGAGCACGTGACCGCTTGTTCAACCATGTTCGATTGGGAATAAAGGAGGAACGCTGCATCGCAGCCTTTTCGGACCAAAACCAATCGACTCAGCGTCCAAAAGACTACAACATATGGGCCAATCGCGGTCATCCGTGCTTTTATAAGAACGAAATGGCGCTTTTAGTGACATTTTGCATACAAATCCCCATCTAGTAGGGCGCAGTCACCCAGTTTCGGTGGAAGTGCGCGAGTTCGATTGGGATTCAAGTAGGAAGGGAGCGTCTCAGCTTCCTCGGACCACGACCATTCGACTCAGCACCCCGAAGACTACAACTGGTGAAATTTTGATTTTTGCCTTAACTTCCCCTTTAATTTTTTTACTAAGTATTACATGGAGTAGTACAGTACGTATGTTTCTACTCCATTCCCTGCTGTCCAATGTCAGATTATACCGGGCCAAGTCTGAAAATCTCAGCAAAGGTTGCACTCTACTTGATTGTACTTGAATACTTCCTCTAACCCCCATCTGGCAGGGGGGGGGGTGCTTGTGTGTGTGTGTGGGGGGGGGGGGGGGGGGGTAACACCACAAGCACTGTGTCCAGCACATATTGAGGGGTTGCAAGGGTTCATGCTCCACTGCGGTGCGGGGAGATCAAGAACCCTTGAGCTTGAAATTCATCCTTGCTATTTCCCCCTTTTTGACTGGATTTGTCATGGCATGGACTTGAAACATTGGCTGGTCTTGGCCTGGGGGAATACGGCTAGTGCTGCCTCGTTATGTGCCAGAGGAAGTAGACCAGACCACAGTGAAGTACTGTATGATATCCAACTTCAATATCACGCCTGCCGCAGTCGAACTGCTCACAGTCAAGACACACGCAAACAGATCACATTCACACTCGTATGCAGCCTGCCTACCTCGCCGTAGACCGTTTTCGCCACCACTTGTGTGTCGTCACCGCTCACAACGTGCGTCGACAGGGACACCAAGCTTATCACAGCCACCAGTAAAGTCTGAGTCGCGACCACCGGCAGTCCGAGGACGAACCCCCTCCTAATCGCCATCGTCATCCGGGCATCCAGAGGAATAGGGAACAACCCGTACCTCCTCGCTACCCAGCCACCAGTAATAGAAGTGGCAAATCGACAGGGCGTAAAAATCAATGACTTTCAAACACTTTCAAACAGAGATTTGTTTTGGAGGTGGACTGAGGTCGAGGCAGGCCAGATCAGCTGTAGTCACGTAGATCTACGGTATGTACTTGGCTATCCTGGTCAGCTGACCACCATGCTATGCTCTCGGCTGCAATCATCCGCTAGCGCTAGAAATGAAGGGTGGCTCACGCATTGTTGCTACATGAGTAACATGACTGTAATGGTTGAGTCAAGCAATGAACTCCGGAGGCTGTACGAGTCCTCCTTTACCCTAAAGAAATAATAGAGGAGGATCTAAACCATCATACACTTAGATCTGGTACACCCTGTTCTGGGCATGGGAGGCCCGGCTCCCTAGCGGGTTGCGGCTTTTTTACTTGCCACGGATGCAAACAAGGGAAATACTTCGAGAGCTGACAGGCGATATGCGATCTGCACCGAAGCTTACCTGCAACAGTCCGAAACTGCACGCATCTCATCTGGTTTCAACCTAGACTCGCTGTTCAAGTTCAGCAGAGTATCGAACATGTCATATAACTGAACAGTTCAGGGGAACGGTCTCCTGCTTGTGTGTCAGATCGACGACGAACATTGGAGTGGAATCACTATTACGTAAATAATCGACGCGGAGACAACAATTTTATAATAGCTATAAAGAGAACAAATTCTGCTGTCATCGCCACACTACAACAAAGTCATGAAGGTTTACCAAAATCGATTTTCTTGTCACAATCATCAGTGGAAAGCCGTGACTGAAGAATAACCATGCCAAATCAATAATTTATATACATTCAATAATGTGTTACGAGAACAAAACAAAGTGCTAAAAATAGAACGAGGGAAGGTGAGACAATAGAATTATTGATTTGGCATGGTTATTTGGCATGGTTATTCTTCAGTCACGGCTTTCCACTGATGATTGTGACAAGAAAATCGATTTTGGTAAACCTTCATGACTTTGTTGTAGTGTGGCGATGACAGCAGAATTTGTTCTCTTTATAGCTATTATAAAATCACTATTACCACTGCATTATGTAGTCACTCTTGGCACTGGTAGACTATCCGGATATCCGTCCATGTTCCCACGGTGCTAACACCAAACACTCACACAATAGTCAAGACTCATCACACACTCACACCAGACTCACACAAGACTCACACATGACTCACACTCGAAGTGAGTCACACACGACTCACAGTCACACCAGACTCGCACACGACGCACCGCATCCTCGCACGAATATTCACACAGGGAGTTCTTGGCTGATGATTTCTCATTTAACTAGGTACTCAATGATCAGGAATGTATTATTTATGGTGTGATTAGGAGTCGACTGGGTACATTACTACACAATCAAGACTTAGAATATTATGTTATGGTGGTAATGTTAGTACTAGCAGTATAAGAAAGTAAGATTACGTTATGCGGGGCGATATCTTATCATATGATCAGGATTCTACACTTTAATCCAAAATAAAACTTAATGATACTTATAATGCACTGTGGCAACTATTAGGAGGGGAGCTCCGGAGCTGGAGGGGTGAGCGGTGAGGGGTGAGCATGATTACTTACAGAGTGTGTAAACCCTAGCGCTACGGACACTATCCTAAACTGCCGTTTATTATATTGGAATGGAGGAGGAGAAACCTATCCTCACGCCTGCATCAATCTTCATACTGAGACTAACTTACTACAGCTAAGTGCAGCATTGTCTATGCGATAGTGTGGGTGCCTAACTCACACCTTAACTCTCAGATAAGCTAAAAAAAAAGAAGAAGAAGCAATTACACTGGTGATGAATGTGGCGAGTGAGTCATGGAATACTATTATCATTATGCAACTTGTGTAATACATTACTATGGGAGATTGGGCATGTCTGATTGGTTCTGAGTTCAATCCTCAGGCTCAGCGCATACACATTACAGTAAGAGCTCAAGTAAAGTATTCAGTACTATCCTGTATAGGATTATCGACACCGAGCAGGTAGGGAATGGGTCACACTATCAACCCTCAACAGTCTAGTCACGGGCAGTGAGAGAGCACAGTGTTGGATAACACGTTATACCTGGTTAGATTGCATCCTTGTCCTCTGAGGTGACTGTGTCGCTGATCTCGTCATTGGTGACGGAGTCAGGAGCGGCAGTCGTGGCAGCCTCGGTGGCCACCTCCGTGGCGGGTGCCTCGGTTGCTGCTTGAGTAGTGGGCTCCATCGCTTCTGTGGCTGCGGCCGTCACGGCAGGAGCTTGTGTCTCCCTGGCCTGGGCAGCCGGCGCACATTCATCCGATGAGTCGGATGAGTCGGATGAGTCGGAGTCGTCACTGCTCGAGTCGTCCTCGCTGCTGCGGCGCCGGCGGCATCCAGAGGCGGAGTCGGAGTCGGAGTCTGATGAATCATCCGAACTGGAGCGCACCTCAATGCTGCGTGCATGGATGGCTGCAATCACAGCCAGACCAATGAAGAGGAAACATAGCACTTTGCGGGGAGATTCCATGGTGAAGGTTGGAGGAGATTGAAAACAAGCGTCTTTCTTTATAAACACAAGGAAGTGGACACTTGTTGATCAAGAGCAGTCAGAAGATGAAGAAAGTGATGAAGACGTCCGCCCTTTTATACGCCATGAGAAGAATAGACCCATCGTGTGTCCATCGTCTTCCAAAGCCAACATACGTACATTCGCACACGCACAAACACACACGCACTCACACACATGCGGGCGCGTGCATTTGAGCAGGCTTGCACATATCACATCTTTCCTTCTGATCATCTTCCTTCATCATCTCGCTACCACTGTCGCTAGCTGGAGTGCCTTTCGTAAACTGCTGAGGTTCCGGCGGAAATTCTAGCAAGTGCGTGGAAGTGCTTGAGTGTGTCTTTGGACAAGGGAATTCAGTATGTTATTCATGCTTCCCGGCGAGCTGTTCTTTTGAACTTCAAGCAGTACAGGTAATTTAGCGCTGCTGCGGGAGAAGTAATCAAACTTTCCCTTGAGATGATGACCAGCGGCGTGAAAACCTGCGATCGCTTCAGGAAGAGCGTCCGGTTCCCCCACCAAGCTCTCCGCCTGAGATATGTAAATATTACGCTCAGAAACATGACATGGAGAGGGAGAATCTGCCGGGAAAACATTTTGGGGAGGCTTAGATACATATCGGCACATCGGTGGGTCTGTATCAGAAGCTCAATACGTGTTTGTTGCACTGCGGGCACTCGTCTGTAACTAGAACTGAGTGCAAGTATCGCTGTGTGACCGCAATGCACCCTACCTGGTCCCAACAAACTGTATTTGTCACGGGCAGGTGTAGCCTGTAGGCTGAACATCCCGGAGGCTGTTGATTATTGTGTGTTTACCAAGCTGTTCCACCTGCACGCCCGGAAAGGAGAGGTCAAGTGGATTTGTCCCAAGTCTTTGCTGGTTGATGCTATAGGACCATAGCCTAGGCATAGGGCTGTACGTACCCGTCTCGTGGTGAACAATGTTATAGTAGTCGGCATTTGACCTAGACTGGTTTTGCCTTTTGGTGAACCACGATGATGATGTTGCCTAGGTGCCAAGGTGGTGCGAGCATGACTGAAGTTGTTGACGTGAGTAGTGTATGTACAGCCTGCACAGTCTGGACCGTGCATGTCCTTGTTGTCCACATGATTATGGTGGCCGGGGATATGAAATCACCAGGTCTTATTTTTGCAAGCTGAGTAAACCTCAGACAAAAACTCGAGCACTTGCACCGTCGAGACCTGCCGTTGCAATTCTTTAGTATTCCTTCTCTCTTTGCGGACCTGTAATGCGTGTACGCGTGTAGACAATCGTGAGAACAAGCCAATGATGATCAGCGCTGCAGTGTACAGTTTGCCTGAGTTTGGGGTGTGAATTGCTCCGTCACACGGATGCAAGCAATCCTGAGACCATCACGCAATCGAACAATTTCCAAGCCCGAAACAAAACAAGTGTGTCTCGCCGAGCCAGCCAACAACATGAACACGACGTACATGTACATGTACAATGTAGCTAGCTACTCTAAGAGTAAGACTCGTGTTATCTCAGCACACACCCAGTACTAGTACTAGTACTACACGGTATTCAATGACGATTCACGCATCACCTTAGACTCGCGCAGTATCTCAGAGAACAACGCTTGGTCGGCACTGGGGGATAGTTATCGGCTGATAAGCCGGTGCGGTGGCCCTGGCTAGGATTGGCAGCGAGGGTGCTTACCGATATGGTAATATTAATGCGATGGTCCCGACCTATGGGCACCGGGCGATACTGTGATTACAAAGTATACATCAATTCACAGCTGAGCGGCTAGGTTCGGAGGGTAGTGAATTGGTCAGCACTCAAGCAGCCCTGCTGACCCATCACAATAGAATTTATCTTTCTCTTAGTAACGAATCGTCGAGGAAGTGGTGATACGTGTCTTGATGTAGTAACTACTTGGTGACATCTGATGACCACAATGTCACTAGTGTATCATGGTTCCGTACCCTTGCGCTGCGTGTGGTCCACCAATGACCACCAGCTACCCGCAGTCACGAATCCTCTGTATGACTAGTACCATGACTGGATTGAGGTGTAAACTATGTTTGTGTGTGCATGTGTGTTTTGTGTGGCTGAAACCGAGAGCGAAAACGTCACTATTAGGTATTAGCCCAGTATAAGGCCGAGTAAAAAAAATTACTAGATGATCGTCCTTTTTTTTGGAAAAATCGGGGAGGGCGGGAGGATTTTATTTTTATTTTTTTACTTTTTACTCTCTCATGCACACAGTGTACACAACAACATCAAGGTTTTTTTTCTCTTTTTTTCTTTTTTTTTCTTTTTTTCTTTTTCTTTCTTCAGCAGATCGATACTGACGTTGTGATATACTAGTAGTATGTGGTCCATATAGTAAAACTCACGATTTAAAAAATAAAATATTTCTTGGGGCGCTGACAAAAACTGGGGCGGACGGGGACGATCATCTAGCTTTTTTTTTACTTGGCCTAATGGTCACACCTTAAAGGGGAAGTCCGGTGAAAAATTTAAATTTCAGGGTCGGTAGAGTTTCGGGCGCAGAGTCGAATGGTGTTGGTCCCACGTGTCTCCGACAAAGCGTTCTCGAGATATTTCCGTTTGAAAAACTGAGTTTCGGGGGCTGCGCCATGACGTCATGCGGCCGCGCCACACCCTCTGCAACGTCAT